GTTGTTGAGCTGCATGTTGTTCAAACTGTGTTTGCAAGTATTGATTACACTTCCTTTGCAATATTCCTCAAACTGTCGTGCGTTCGCACATTGCTCTTGGCGCTGATGCTTGTCAGTGACATTAAAACTGTTAAGCTGCAGAAGATTCTGTGTCAAGCAGTGCTCCTCAAACTTTTGTGCGTATGTATGCATATGTGTACGTTGGCTCTGGCTTTGCTAGCTGCCAGTGACGCTCAAACTGTTGTTAAGCTGCATACGAGTGCATTGCTTACACTTTATGTGCAATGCTTTTTAAACTGTTGTTGCGTACATTGCCCTTGGCGCTAATTGTCACTTGCCAATGGCGCTCGAACTGCTGCCAACCGTTTTTCGGGTGCATTGCCTTCAATAGTGGCTGCGCCACGCCCCCCATCCCCCCGTCCCCCAGAACGTGCTGTTCGCTCTCAGTGCTCAGGCACTCAAGTGCCCAATTTGTCTGCTGGCTGCAATTAAGTTAACGCTCCTACAGCTTGCTTTAGTCGCAGCCAACGTCGTGTGCTAACCCACGCCTAACCACGCCCACTGCAAGTTGTAGCGGCTGCCTGCCTGTCCGCCCCTAACGAAATTGTAACCATTAATGCCACACAAAAGAGCCCATTGAGTGAATAAAGCTTTTTAAAACTTTCCAATCTCCATTTTCTCTCTCTCTCTCTCCGTTTCACTTGACAGTTTCCCTGGAGGAATCACAATTTGAATCTCCACCGTTGACGCAAGAGAAGGTGCTGGAGCTGATTGAGCAGGCCTATCCGAATCCCGTTTCGCCCGAAGATTTGGCCAAGTAAGTAGCGCACTCTCACTCTCCCTCGCTCTCTCTCTGTTTAACCAAGTCTCTCCATTTCAGGGACTATGGCTGGAGTGAGCAGGATGTGCTGCTGGTCATACAATCGCTGCAGGAGCGCGGCCTCATCAAGTCCATGGAGTACAATGCGTACACGCGCATCCATCACGAGGACAAGGAGATCAAGGTGGTCAAACAGATGCCGACGATAGCCTCCAACAAGCAGCCAACGATTGCCATCATAACGGCCCAATACTGTGAGAAGCTCGCCGTGGACGCCATGTTGGAGAACAAGGAGACGTTTGTTCGCTACACCACAGTCGGTAGGTGGCGCCACAAGTCGCAGAGTGCAGAGTGCCCGCAATGGAATGCGTTAATTCTCTTTCTCTCTCTTTCTCTCTCTCTCTCTCTCATATATCTTCCCCTCGTTGCTCTCTTGTACTCTAACCGTAACGGTACACCGACCATCGCAATTTTGAATGCATTTTGAATATACCAAATTGTTTGCTTGCCCCTCCCTACGCCCTAAAAAACGCCCGCTACCGCAAAATTATTAATCAATTAATTAACTACGCAAAATCAACATATATATACGCATATACGTATACCAAATATGTATGTGTGTGTGTGTGTGCATAACAGATTCCGATCCCACTCTAACGAACTCACTCAGAAAATCCAATAAGAAACGCAGATTTGGTAAGCACCCAGTCGCTTAAGATTATTAACCATATAAATATCCACTATATTCATGTATATATACTATTATATATATATATATATATATATATATATATATATATATATATATATATATATTCAACTAAGTTCAGGGTCAAGTTCAGAAATATATATCTACACATTGCTGATTATGCCATCAGTATTTTTTTTTTTTTTCAGTGTAATAGATGGATGTTACACAAATATAACAAATCAAATATATCAAAGCATAAATCATAAAAAATTAAAATAATACATTAAATTTTAATCAAAGTGCTATTTACAAAGTCTTTCTAAAAAAAAAAAATAAATAAATAAATAAATCTGAAATAATTAAAGACAATATTCAGGAAATACAAATAAAATAATAATATAACAGAAACAAATGTTAAACAAAATTTAAAAAATCAATAACAAAATTAATAAAATTAACAATTAAATTGAATTAGACATATAAAGAAATTTAGATTATTGAAATTTAAAAAATGAGTAAAACAAAATAAATTGAAGAAAAAAAGTAAATAATAAATGTAATTATCAAAAATAAATGAAATGAAAAATTAAAAGAAAAATATATTATGAAGTTGAAAAAAGCTTAAAATTGATTTCATATAAGGAAAAAAGAAATTAAATAAATTGGACATTAAAATTAAAATAGAAATTAAAATTAAATAGACAGAAAAAATTAAAAATAGTAAACAAAAATAAAATACAAATAAAAATGAGAATTATCTATATAAGATATTATATTATATGTTACAGATAACATTTAAATCTAGCATACTAACTACAGTCTATATTGGCTATACAAATCAATTATTTTACAACTAATCTATCAGCCATATAAAACCTATAAATTATGAATAATGTTTTGATGGCGAAACAGAAACAACAGAAATTGCGAACTTGGCCTTGAGCTTGTTTTGATTGTTGTTGTTGTTGTTGTTTGTCATTTGTCGTCAAAGTCGCTTGTTACTTTGTTTATTATTATTATTGTTGTTGTTGTTGCTGTTAACATTAAGGTGCTTTTGTTTTTTGGGGCTCAGCTCTGAGAGTTGGGCCATGGGTTGATTACACATTAAAGCTCGAGCTTTGTTATTGTTATTGTTATTGTTTTTTGTTTTTTGTTTTAATTATTCATTGTTGTCGTCACGCACCTGAGCCACAATCCAAATACATTGTGCACACCAAACGGTTCATCAGCCCAGTGGACATTTCACTCACAGTCAATAACACACACAGGCACACAAATAAACACATACAGACATAAGCACACATCGCACACAGTGGCTCACATCTGTATATGTATTCATGTGGTTTTGTCAAGTCAGCGCAGTGAAATTTCACATTTGTATGCCCGCTAATCGTTACCTGAATCCATCTGCTCCGCAGGCGAATCGAATGTGTATACCTTGGGCAACATTGGAGCACATCGGATAGTTAGCACCAAGCTGCCGTCGGCGGGCAGCACACGGGAGGCGATGACGGCGACGGGCAATACGACAACCAGACTGCTGGGCACATTCCAAAAGGTTGACTATGTCTTCATTGTGGGCGTGGCTGGCGGAGTGCCCCACTATACGGACTACAAGAAGCACGTGCGACTGGGCGACGTCGTCATCTCGTATGTGGACAAGCAGCGTGCCCTACTCAACAGGTGAGTGCCTCCCACACACCCAGCACAGGTCAATCGATAATTATTAACCCCATCTCACAATGGCATTTGCAGCAAGGAGAAACCATATGTGTATGTCTACAAGACCGGCGACGATGCGAAGACATATTTCCCAGTCAACGATTCGCTGCAACAGATCGCCGAGAGTCTGCAGGCCAACATGGAGCTGAAGCGTCCGTGGGAGAGATATTTGCTCGATGCCCAGCAATCGCTCGCCCAGAAGACAGAAAGCGACTTTAGCCGGCCGGACGGCAAGACGGATAAACTGTTTATGAACATTGGCAACAACGAGGTCATCGAGGTGGCCCATCCAATTGCCGCCGATGAGATCAATGGCGTGACACGGCCGCGTCTGCATCTGGGTCCGATCGGCTCTGGCCGGGATCTGGTGCGAAATGATGATTTGCGCACAAAGTTTGCACGTAAATTTGGCCTGCTGGCCACCGATGTCGAGATGAGCAGCGTGCTGGACAGCATCATTGGCAATTGCCGAGAGAGCTTCATACTGATTAAGGGCATATCCGACTACAAGGACGGCATGTCCACGCGCAAATGGCAGAACTATGCCGCACTCTCAGCCGCAGCAGTGGTTAAGTCCGTCATCTGTGGCATGGATGCGCCCACAAATGTCTAAGCGTGTCTTTCCATCGATAACTCAGCGGATTCTTCAGCTAATGATTTTACCATTTCATATACATATACATAAGCATATACATATGTATGTATGTATATATACATATATGTACGGTTTTTTTTTTTTATTATCTTGTAATGTTGCTTAGATCCTGCAATGTATTTATCGAAACGTTCTTATTTTGTTCCCTGTGCGTTATTAACCAAAAGCGGATCCCGGATTTATATCTGGCGGCTCCTAAAAGTAGACCAAAATGTATGCGTTTATCTAATACCCTATAAACATGCATATGTACAAGTAATATGTATTGAATGATTTCTTGTTATTTATTTGTTATGCTTTTGTACTACATACATATACATATACATATATACACACATATACATATATATCATTTACAGTCATACAATATATGTATGATACAGGCACATGACGTATATACCAAAATATATATATTTATGTATATACATATATTTAAATTAATAAATACTGCATTAAATTGCGCCAGTAACTAATAATTTTGTTTCGCTCTGTTCTTGGCTATTTGTATTGTTTTTCACAGATAACTTGATTTCCCTCGACGTTTCCATTTTAAATTTGCCGCGCAAATGCATTGGTGTGCATGGGTTGAGGTATTGCCAATTTATCGATTTGGAGTTGCCACACAACTTTTAAAATATCGCAGCGCATTACGGTCGTTGCAAGTTCAAATTTGCCGCGCAAAGCTCATCACTTATCTTTTGAGCACCATCAACTTATCGACGCAACGTTGCCACCTCTGCACACAAATGTTATTTATTTCATTTTAATGCAAAAAGTAAATAGGAAAACAAGAAAGTAAATTATTTAATTAGTACATTCTTGCAAATATTCAAATATATATCCACACCATGTATAAATAGTGTAATTAGGCTACAGCCAGTGTTGAGCTACGAACCAAAGTGTGGGTGCCCGAATTTTGATTTTTTGTTGCTGTTGCTCACAGTTGACAATTTAAATTTCAAATAGGCGCCAATTTATAAATTAAATTATTATCAATTGTTGCCAACAATAGCGGCAATTAGCTCAATGCGTGTTTAAGTGCCTTAAATAACCAGATATCGATAGAAATGCCAACAGCTGATGTTGAAGAAAACTATATGGTGTACTAGGACAAGCTGCTGTTGCTGCTGCTTCAGCGAAGAAGATGGCCTTAAATTACAATTGAGCAACTGTTATGAGCAGAAAGTAATAATGAGAATAGGTGGTATATTGCTCGTTCTTTTGGATGTGCGTAGAATGTGCGACCATTAAATTGCCGAGAATTATGCGTAACTATACTTCGACGACTTGCCGATTGTACTAAAGTAATCAACGCTTGTCGCTGAGTAGCGTTCGTAAATCAGCCAGAATACGTTCAGCACGCCGTCAAGCCGGTTGTCGTCTTCGGGGATTTGTGAAGTGCGTAAAAAAGCAACACGTGCGCTGTCTGTGTTTGCGACAGACAGAACGAATTGCCAGCTGAACGTGCAATCTTAGCAAACAGAAACTTGAGTTAAGTTTAGAGTGAATCAAATAACAACAGGTAAACAAAAGCTGTACACGATAATTGCATTATTAACTGGGCAGCAAATTTGTCAATTATACTATGTTACACTGCTGCGTGCGTGCGTTTGTGTGTGTGTGTGTGCTTGCGTGTACTCTTACGCGTTTGTGTGTGTGCGTAGCTGATTGTGTGAGAACCGGTCTGCAGATCGAATAAGAATCAATGCATTGCTTTCCAATTGGAAATGGTTAGGAACAAAAGTTGCTTGAAATGAAGATGCGTGTAATCTGAAATATTCAAATTGATATCGTATAGTGAGTGTGGAAGACTGTTTACTATGTATAGTATATACTCTAGATATGTATATAATGCATAGTTTCTGTTATTTTAAAGTCCGTATCTAATAATAATAACTAATTGTTGCTAATTGTCTGTGTGTGTGTTGTGCATGTGTTTTGTATTCCTGCACGGCAAATGCATTTATGATAAGCGCGCCATGTGGCTAAAAACAAAGAGAGCGAGAGGAACCATTCCAACTGTAAAGTGTAGGGCATTGGGTATAGGGTATAACACTTTGCAGTGACAATATGCCAACGTGATAACATCAAACAATCAATCATGAATGCTCTCAAATTAATATTCATTGTAATTGGAATAGTACTATAGGCAAGATCTAGCTGTTCAATATATTTAACGGTCATATTCAAAAATAAAAGTCAATGCACACGACCTTAAGTTTTCCATCTGACTGAACTATAAGTTTCGTGACTTGATAACCCAAGCTTATTTCCTATGGACTCAAATCAAATATACAACGGCTCACAGCATATTTCAGCCGGCAGCTCGAAGCCAAATTCGGGTATTTATAAAATCTAAATTAAATTAAATAATAACAAGTAAGAAGGCTCCAGTCGAGACTGCTCGACTAGGAGATACCCTGAACCCTCCAAGCTGATATTCTAATCATTCTGGACTTATTTTATGCACACATACAAACACATGCATCCACACGCATGCATAAGCCTGCGCTCTGCTAACTGCGCAGTAAGCAGCGACTGCGCTTGGGCTGCGCTGCAGTGTGGGCAATATTATGAAAATTTATTTGTTAAATAATTTCTTTTGTAGACATACGATCTTAATAAAACTTTCAGAGCGTGATCATATGGTAAATATGTATGTACATTCCAAAGCACAAGTCTCTAGTACTTGAAATGCGTTTTTTACAAATTGGGGGAGAAGGGGGCGTGGTATCCAAAATCTGTAAATTACAAAATCTTTGTATTGATTAACTTTATATACAACGAGAATTTGAAGACTCCAGGTCCAAAAGTGTTCAAATTAGGCTGAAAAAACAATGTCGATTTTTCGATTATTCTCGATAAAAAAGTTATCGGACGATTTATCGAAAAAATAAAGCAAACTCGTACTGCGTATGGTACTCACGAGTATGCATGCCAAATTTCAGCTCTCTAGCTCTTGTAACTTCTGAGATCGACGCACTCATACGGACGGACGGACGGACGGACGGACGGACGGACGGACGGACGGACGGACAGACGGACAGGGCTATATCGATTCAGCTCGTCGCGCTGATCAAGAATATATATACTTTGTGGGGTCTGCCACGCCTCCTTCTGCCCGTTACATACTTTTTCACAAAACCATTATACCCTGATTTCCCATTTTCAATGGGTTCAGGGTATAAAAATAACAAAAAGCAATCCCATTGCTTATTGAGACTTCCACTTGATGCCTTCGTTTCAGTTTCAATTGCATCTTAGACAAACATTTTATTTATAATATTTTGAATAAAGGCTAGCCGCGTCAGCTCAATTTTAGCTTGGACACTAACAGATATTATATTTCACTGCATGATAAGAAGAGTTTCCCACTGACTCAAGATAGCGAAATAGAAGCATAAATAAATAAATAAATTTATTAAGGGCGAAATGTGAATCCCATTGGGACAAACAAATGAATAGAGAGAGAGAGAGAGAGGTAGTGAGAGCGAGAGAGGAGAACAGCGAGAGGAGGGGGAATGGAGAGACATAGACAACAAGAGAGTGAACGAGAGGAAAATAGAGAGACAGACAAAGAGAGAGGAAGAGAGAGACAAAAAAGAGAGAGACACACAAAGAGAGAGCGAGAGGTAGAAACAAATGAATAGAGAGGGAGAGAGAGAGAGAGGGAGAAACAAATGAATGGAGAGAGAGGGAGAGAGAGAGGGAGAGAGAGAGAGAGAGAGAGGGAGAGGACACGGAGAGAGAGGTAGAGACAAAGAAAGCAAGAGATAAACGTAATCTGAATATTAATAATAATTTTCTGGTATTTCATTTCACTCAGCTGCAAAATGTCCCCACCGGATTGTTATCTCGAGCTGGAAGATGGAACCGTGATGCCGGGCTACTCATTTGGCGCCAAGGGCACAGTCACAAGCGGCGAGGTGGTCTTCCAAACGGGCATGGTGGGCTACACGGAGGCCCTGACGGATCGCTCGTATAGTGCACAGATTCTGGTGTTGACCTATCCGCTGATTGGCAACTACGGTGTGCCGGATGCCGGGCAGCTGGACGAGTTTGGACTGCCGGAGCACTTTGAGTGGCTCCAGGGCGCCGTGCAAGTGGCTGGCCTGGTGGTGGGCGAGATCTGTGAAACGCCCTCGCATTGGCGCTCCAAGCGCACGGTCTCCCAGTGGCTGGCGGATCATCGTGTGCCCGGCATCAGCGGCATCGATACCCGTTGCCTGACCAAGAAGCTGCGCGAGCAGGGCAGCATGCTGGGACGTATTGTCTACAAGGAGCCGGCCAAGCAGGCGAAAGTCCCATTCGAGGATCCCAACGAGCGCAACTTGGCAAAGGAGTGCTCCGTTAAGCAGATTCAACTGTATAAATCGCCGCAGGGCTCAATTGGGCCACGGATCGCCATCATGGACTGCGGCCTGAAGCTGAACCAGATACGCTGCCTGCTGCAGCGCGGCGCCTCTGTGCAGCTGTTGCCGTGGAGCGCGCAGCTGAAGGAGGAGGAGTACGACGCCCTCTTCCTCTCCAATGGACCCGGCGATCCGGCCAGCTGCAGGCAGATTGTCGAGCAGGTGCAGCGCGTGCTGCAGGCTGGCACAAAGCCCATCTTCGGCATCTGCCTGGGCCATCAGCTGCTGGCCTCGGCCATCGGCTGCACCACCTACAAGATGAAGTACGGCAACCGTGGCCACAATCTGCCCTGTCTGCATCGGGCCAGCGGTCGCTGTCTGCTCACGTCCCAGAATCACGGCTATGCCGTCGACCTGGCCAAGCTGCCCGGCGACTGGGAAGAGCTGTTCGTCAATGCCAACGACGGCACCAACGAGGGCATTGTGCATCGCAGCAAGCCCTACTTCTCGGTACAGTTCCACCCGGAGCACCACGGCGGTCCGCAGGACACCGAGTTCCTGTTCGACGTCTTCCTCGATGCCATACGAGAGCCGCAGAAGAGCGTGCCCGAGCTGATCGCATCCAGACTGAGCGTGATACAACCCGAGCCGCAGCCCCGTCCGCGCAAGGTGCTCATCCTGGGCTCCGGCGGACTGTCCATTGGCCAGGCCGGTGAATTCGACTACTCCGGCTCGCAGGCCATCAAGGCGATGCGCGAATCCAACATCCAGACGGTGCTCATCAACCCGAACATTGCCACAGTGCAGACCTCCAAGGGCATGGCAGACAAGTGCTACTTCCTGCCCCTGACGCCCGACTATGTGGAGCAGGTGATCAAATCGGAGCGGCCCAACGGTGTCCTGCTCACCTTCGGCGGCCAGACGGCCCTCAACTGCGGCGTCGAGCTGGAGCGTGCGGGCGTCTTTGCCAAATACAATGTTCGCATTCTGGGCACGCCCATACAGTCAATCATTGAGACGGAGGACCGCAAGCTGTTCGCCCAGCGGGTCAATGAGATTGGGGAACGTGTGGCGCCCTCCGAGGCGGTCTATACCGTGGCCGAGGCCCTTGAGGCAGCCGGCCGCTTGGGCTATCCGGTGATGGCACGCGCTGCCTTCTCATTGGGCGGCCTGGGCTCCGGCTTCGCCAACAACGAAAACGAACTGAGGACACTGGCCCAGCAGGCCCTGGCCCACTCCACTCAGCTGATCGTGGACAAGTCGCTCAAGGGCTGGAAGGAGGTGGAGTACGAGGTGGTCCGCGATGCCTACGACAATTGCATCACCGTCTGCAACATGGAGAACTTTGATCCACTGGGCATACACACCGGCGAGAGCATTGTGGTGGCTCCCTCGCAGACCCTGTCCGACCGCGAGTACCAGATGCTGCGCAGCACCGCCCTGAAGGTGATCCGGCACTTTGGGGTCGTCGGCGAGTGCAACATTCAGTACGCTCTCTGCCCCCACTCGGAGCAGTACTACATCATCGAGGTGAATGCTCGACTGTCGAGGAGCTCGGCGCTCGCCAGCAAGGCGACGGGCTACCCCCTGGCCTATGTCGCTGCCAAGCTGTCGCTGGGCGAGCCGCTGCCCGAGATTCGCAACTCGGTGACGGGCAATACGACGGCCTGCTTTGAGCCGAGTCTCGACTATTGTGTGGTGAAGATACCGCGCTGGGATCTGGCCAAGTTCATGCGCGTGAGCAAGCACATCGGCAGCTCGATGAAGAGCGTCGGCGAGGTGATGGCCATTGGGCGCAGTTTCGAGGAGGCCATCCAGAAGGCGCTGCGCATGGTCGACGGCGATGTTCAGGGCTTCGATCCCTATCTGGCGGCCGTCGACAAGGACCAGCTGTCGGAACCAACGGATCGTCGGCCCTTTGTCCTGGCCGCCGCTCTGCGCGCCGGCATGTCCATCGAGGAGCTGCACGATCTGACGAAAATCGATCGTTGGTTCCTCCACAAGCTGCAGAACATCATCAAGTTCTACGGCCAGCTGGAGTCCGCCGGCAGCCAACTGACGCCGTCTCTGCTGCTGAGTGCGAAGCGCCTGGGCTTTGCCGACAAGCAAATAGCCATGGCCACCAAGAGCACCGAGCTGGCCGTGCGCCAGCAGCGGCACGAGCACAACATCCGACCCTTTGTCAAGCAGATCGATACGGTGGCCGGCGAGTGGCCGGCGAGCACGAATTATCTCTATAACACGTACAATGCATCGGAGCACGACGTTCTCTTTCCCGGCGGGCACACCATCGTCGTCGGGTCGGGCGTCTATCGCATCGGCTCCTCGGTGGAGTTCGATTGGTGTGCCGTGGGCTGTCTGCGTGAGCTGCGCAACCTGAAGAAGTCGACGATCATGATCAACTATAATCCGGAAACGGTGTCCACCGACTATGACATGTGCGATCGTCTGTACTTTGAGGAGATCAGCTTTGAGGTCGTCATGGATATCTATGAAATGGAGCGCTCGGATGGCATCATCCTCTCCATGGGCGGTCAGCTGCCCAACAATATTGCCATGGACTTGCATCGGCAGCAGGCGAAGGTCCTGGGCACGTCGCCGGAGTCGATCGACTGTGCCGAGAATCGCTTCAAGTTCTCGCGCATGCTGGATCGCAAGGGCATCCTGCAGCCACTATGGAAAGAGCTGACCAATCTCCAGTCGGCCGTCGAGTTTTGCCAGGAGGTGGGCTACCCCTGCCTGGTGCGTCCGTCGTATGTGCTCTCCGGCGCTGCTATGAATGTGGCCTACTCGGATCAGGATCTGGACACGTATTTGAATGCAGCCTCCGAGGTCAGTCGCGAGCATCCGGTGGTCATCTCCAAGTTCATCACCGAAGCCAAGGAAATCGATGTGGACGCCGTTGCGGCTGATGGCCAGATCCTGTGCATGGCCGTCTCGGAGCATGTGGAGAACGCTGGCGTCCATTCGGGCGATGCGACGCTGGTCACACCGCCGCAAGATCTGAATGCAGAGACCCTGGAGGCCATCAAGCGCATCACGCGCGATCTGGCCAGCGTGCTGGACGTGACGGGACCCTTCAACATGCAGCTGATCGCCAAGAACAATGAGCTCAAGGTCATCGAGTGCAATGTCCGAGTCTCACGCTCCTTCCCCTTCGTCTCCAAGACGCTCGATCATGACTTTGTGGCAACGGCCACACGCGCCATTGTCGGCATGGAGGTGGAACCCATCGATGTGCTCCACGGCGTGGGCAAGGTGGGCGTCAAGGTGCCCCAGTTCAGCTTCTCGCGTCTCGCTGGCGCCGACGTCCAGCTGGGCGTCGAAATGGCCTCAACGGGCGAGGTGGCCTGCTTTGGGGACAACCGCTACGAGGCCTATCTGAAGGCCATGATGTCCACGGGCTTCCAGATACCCAAGAATGCAATTCTGCTCTCCATTGGCAGCTTCAAGGTGCGTCGAATGAATATATACATATAGGCATTATATATATGCATTATATATTTTAAATATTCCCGTTCTCACAGCACAAAATGGAGCTGCTTTCCTCCATTCGGGAACTGGCCAAGATGGGCTACAAGCTGTACGCCTCGATGGGCACCGGCGACTTCTATGCGGAGCATGGCGTTGATGTGAGTATGGCTCAAATGTGGGAATTTGTAACTTAACGGCTTTATATACAATTGTATCAGATGCTGTAGCTTGAGTTGATCTAGACTTTCAGTTGACTCGAATTACCCTATAATCTAAGTTCACCACTAACAAAATTCAGGACTTTTTACCATAGACTAGAAACTCGCTCGTACTATGATTAATTTCGCATATATCGCTTAACAACTTCCATTGCCATTTTGTTATAAAGTCCTATTCTCACACTTAAGAATTTTCTAGGTGTCTGCCTAAATGGCAAAAAAAAAAAAAATGCTTCTGTAAATCGACAAAATACTAAAACTGCATTGAGTGAAATTGATTGCACAGCTGAATAAGTTGGAGTGAGTAAAAAAGACTAGGCTTGCATCCAGCGAGAGCGTGTGAGCGAGAGAGGACATTAAAGCTCAAACGTTACGCAGAGAACAGTTACGTTACTCTTAATGTAAACTAACAGCTCTTTTCGGCGTTCTCATACAAAGTTCAACGCGCGCAATTTGAACTTAACAGATCCGTGTTATGTTAACAAACCTATCACTGTCACTGTTAACTTAACAGACCCTTTTGCTAATGAAATTGCGGTCTCTTCTCTTCTCTTTTCTCTTCGTTCATTTCTTATGACTCTCTGAGTACATTGACAGATCAGTGCTCAGTTAACATATCACTGTTAACTTAACAGACACCATTTCGCATTTATTATTTGCCTACTGTAAGTGAAGAAAGAATAACAGCCGGGTACTCCCTCCTATTATTTACACGTATTTCAATATAAGAAAACAAAAACTGATTTTCTTTTTATGTACAGACCTTAAGGCATAGATAATATAATACAGAGTTAATTAAACAGGCGATATGCCGTGGGCCGTTATCGAGGCAGAAGCTAATCGGCCATGCCTGAAGGCCATCGAATCGATTCTGTTGTTGACTGATTGTCTGAGCGGATTTATGGCTATTTGCTAATTGAAGGCGCTCTTCACCTTTTGTGTGTTGCGTTTGAGCAGATCGCGGAACTCGTCGCGCTTCGATTCCGGCGCCAGTGTTTGCATTAGCTGCTCCGTCTTGGAGCTTAGCGTCTGCAGTGCGCCGGCATCCAGTTGGAGTCGCTGGAACAGCGAACCGAGCAGCACGTTGTTCTCTTTGGCTGATTCTGGATGTGGCTGTGGCTGTTGCTGTGGCTGTTGCTGTGTCGGGTCTTCCTCTACTGCCTCTGCCTCCACAATGATGTCGTCCTCCTGCTCAGCTGGGGGCGGGGGTTGAGGCGCACGTCGTGCGGCTGGCGGCGTGGGCGGCTGCAGTGGCGTCACCTCGCCCGTGTGCATCTGCACCACATGCTCCACGAACTTGAGCGACTTGCGGCGCATGGGGCTGGAGTTGCCACTGACTCGGGGAGTGCTCTGATTGCTATGCATCATGGCCCGCTCCATGTTGCTGGCCGCCTGGCATAGTGCGTCCGTGTAGTGGTGGGCGTATTGGGAGCAGCCCAGCTGCTGGTAGAGCCGGCACAGGCGCTGCGCCTGCTCCAGGTAGAGCTGGGCATGCTGTGCATTCCGGAACTCCGTTGCCTTGGCCAGCATGGCCAGCATATGGTCGAGCAGCAGCTCCAGCAGATTGGTGCAGCGCAAGATTTCGATGCCATCATTCAGCTGCGGCGCTGTGGTCCCTGGGCCGGCTGTCGATGCACTGCTGGATGTGAGCGATGCCTGCGATGCTCGCGGCAGTAGCAGCGGCAGATCCAGCGTGATGGACTCAACGGAGCTGCGTCGCTGCTCCGCTGCCATCTTCAGCTGCTGGGCGCGCAGCATTTGGGTCTTGCGGCGCAGCTTGCCGCGCGTTCGCTCCTGATGCTGATGCAGTCCGAGCAAGCCCTGGGCGTCATGCAGCTCCTGCTGCTGCTGCTGCTGCTGCTGCTCTTGCTCCATTGGCTGCTCAACGATGGGTAGGGGATTCCTCGAGAACTTCGCCCAGCTCCGCAGCTGCACATAGTCGTGCGTCACTAGATTCTCGAGCAGGCGCTCATAGTTGAGCTTGGGATAGAAATTGTCGGCATGCTGGAGATTGCGCAACGCCTGGAGCACATGCATCAGCGGCTGCTCGGCAATGCCCGCCATGATGGTGCGCAGCTCCATCAGCGCATCCTCGGGCACGTGCTCGAACAGGTTGCGTCGCTGGATGAAATAGTCGCTCAGCTGCTTCTTGGCCAGGCAATCGGCGAAGGTGCGCACGAAGCGCACCAGCTTCTCGCCGAGAAACTCCTCGGGCCACTCGTTGCTGTGGCGCTCGCACTGCCAAAAGAGATGCGTGCGCAGCTGCTCCACGATGTGGCCCATCGCCTGGCACTTCTCGTTGACGAAGGTGCGCACCAGCACCTTCATGAGCAGCAGCACCTTCAGCTGCATGCGCGTCAGCTGCCGCTCCAGGAACTGCTCCGCCTGGGGGAAGACAATGCGCCATTCCAGCTCGCGGAAGGGATTGCGCGCCCGCTTCGGCGTATAGCCCACGGGCACCACATGGAAGCCAAAGGACTGGATGCGCTTGCGCATCACCGCCGTTGGCCACTGGAAGCGATCGCCCGTATGCAGATTGGTCAGCTGGGGGCGGGCGCGCAGGTTGAACTCAAAGGCGCAGTCCGGCCAGCTGTGTGGCACGTGAATGGCTGGGACCAGCTCCTCGGTGGCGGTGTAGATGCTGCAGCCCCGGTAGCTGCTCGCCGACAGCTGCGCCTGGCTGATGCCCAGCTCCTGTGCCAGCTGCTGGCGCAACAGTTCGCCAAAATAGTTCATGAACTGCTGGGAGCTCAGATAGCATTGCTGGAGGAGATCGCGACGCCGCTGCTGCTCCATTTTGCACTGGCGGAGCACTTGCACCGTCTCGTAGCCGGAGCGGCAGCTCTGCTCTGGAGTCTGCTCCTCGTCGCTGGCACTTCCATTGCTCTCCTCTTCGTCCTCGTCGTCATCGTCGTCGTCGTCGTCCTCATCGTCGCTCTGCTCCAGCCACGCTGGCAGGCAGCTGGCGAGTCGTCTAATGCAGGACTCTGGCAGCACATTGCGCTGCAGTGGCTCACGCATCAGCTTCAGCTCATCCATGGAACGCTGCGTATTCAGGCGCGCTATATACACATGGTCGTAGTCGCCCTCGCACCAGCTGCCACGGCCCGCGCTGGATCCCGCCCTGGAGCCCATCCTCGAGCCCGACCGGGTGCACGCTCCGGCGGCCGTACTATAGCCGGAGCTGCCATCTGTGTAAACAGCTTCCATGTCGATGTCGCCCTCATCGCTGCTAGGACTGCTCGGGCTACTGCTCAAGCGGCGCTGCATTGGCATCGGCTCCCGCAGCTTCAGCCGCACATAGCCCAGCCAACGGCTCTGCTCCAGCTGCTGCACGTACTGCGACCGGCAGGGCGTTGTGTTGTAGTAGTCCGTCTCCAGCAGCACTTTGCACAGCGCAGCTATCGAGTCGTAGTTGGCATCATTTGGTCGGGCAATGTCCACATTCTCGAACACCACATAGGTCAGGGTCCTCTGCAACGGCTGCGCCTTGACATGGGACTTGCCGCTACCAGCTTGCTGCCTGTATGGGCCATCTCTGTGTAGAAGAAAGGAGAGTCAATTGGGCTAGGCTGGTGGGCTGGGATGGTAGATGGATCAAGTAAGCCTTGAAAGAAATTTACGGATGATGGGGCAGAGGTCGACAGAAGTGGACAGAAAGAGCTAGAAGGAGTAAGGGAAACGAGAGATTGGACAATGGAATAAGGAAGAGAACAAGAGGGTAGAGTGAGAGTCGAAGAGAAAGTGTGAGTCAGAGAGAGAGAGATATCTACAGAGATAGATCTACAGAGGTAGGTATAAAGTCCAAAAAAAGTTAGGGTAGAGAGAGACAGTTCAAAGAATGAATGATGACAAAGAGAGACAGAGAGAGAGAGAGAGAGAGAGAGAGAGAGAATGTAGAAGGGAAAAGCAGAGGCAGGGGTAGGAATAGGAGAAAGCAAAGGAGGAAAAGAGGAAGAGGGCGACGATACAAAAGAAGGCAATACAAAAGAAGAGAGAAAGCCGCAGTGGAAGTGGGATAGAAGAAGAGAAAAACGTGTAAGAATATGTGGACAGAGGAAAGAAGAGCCAGTAGAAGGAAGAGACCAAGTTATAGAAAGACTAAGAGAAGGAGCAGTTAAGAGAAAGAAATGGACAGTTGGGAAGGGATGGATAGACTGAACAAGAGAGCAACAGAGGAAACAGGCACAGACCGAGAGAGAAAGAAGAGAGAAAGAGAAGAGAAGAGGAACAACAAAGTAAGAGAGAGAATATTCTAGAAGGAAATGTCGTGGTCAAAGCGGATCTTAGAGTTGACTTTAACTATTCTCGGTTGAGCTCGATGGAGGATATAAATGAGTGAATGGAAATACCTCTGACAATCCACCAGAATCTAGAGCTTCCTCTGAGCATTCCTCAACTTACATGGGCTTGAAGAGCAGCCGCTTGGCCACGGCCGCATCGATGGCGCTGGCGTGCAGCAGACTGTGCTCGGTGAGGGCCTGGGCGCAGGCGCGCTGCTTGGCCAGTAGCTGCTCATCGATGGCGGCCAGCTCGTGCTCGAAGTGGCCAAAGAACTGGATGCAGAGCAGCAGCTGGTTCAGCACAAAGGTGTGCAGCTGCCGCTCCAGCTGATACTGCGTCTTCTGCTCGATGATGCGCTGGTGCTCCTCGCGCTGCTGCTCCAGCGTGCGGGCATAGAGGGCGCTGACGCACTCCGTGGCGCTGCTGCCGTTGCTGCCCCCAAGCAGACGCAGCTGCGGCGCTAAATTGTGGCTGCCCCGCATGCTGCCGCCACTGTTTCTGTTGGTGTTGCTGCCACGCAGACTCCGCCGCAAACTGTTGCCATTTGCCGTACCCGTTGCCGTTGCCGTTGACTTAGCCTTTGTCTTTGCCTTGGACTGATGGCGACGCTTGCGCGCATTGCGCTTCTGCAGCTTGGCCAGCTGCTTCTGACGCTTCTCCTCCTGGCGGCGGCGCTGCTGCAGTCGAGGCGGCGCCTCGGCCGCCTGCAGCTGCTGCAGCGGATTGGGCAGCGTTTCGCTGTCCCGCGTCTTGGACCAGTTGCAGCCCATGAATCGTGCCTAATCGAGGAGAGAGTTCTTCAAGCAGCGCTACGATTGCAACTGTCACTTCTTCCTAGCTGATATCGATCTAAACTGATCCAATTCCATTTTCCTGCCAATGCCAGTGTCGTCGTTGTCATCGCCGTTGTCGTTGTAGTTGTAGTTGATGGTTGCCCAGATAAGATCGTCAGCGACGCATCAAGTCCAATAGCAACAATCAAACGACTTGCAATCGGGTTTCCTCGATTGCTCAATACTCGTTCAGCAGACTTCTTGCCTTCTCTCTGCTTCTCAAGACCCTGTTCTCTTTTATCTTATGTATTTTATTTACTCTCTTCTTTCTTATGCCTTGCACTTATTATTTCTTTTTGCATTCCTCTTTTCTCTTGCCCGTTAGTTCTTATTCCTTGTCCCTTCCATATTATATCGTCGATTTACTTGAATCATCTAACTTCAGATTTCCTAAGTGAAAAGCGAACAGTTGTCCATTCTTCTTCTTCTTTGTATTCTCTTTTATAACTTCTCTCTCTTTTCTCTTTTCGCATCTTACATCTCTTATCTTCTCTCTCTCTCTCTCTCTCTCTCTCTCTCTCTCTCTCTCTCTCTCTCTCTTGTCAGCAGTGTTGCCAGATTAGCTATTTAATAGCATTTTTAGCTATTTTTGAACCCTAAATGCTATGAAAATTTTGAAAATGCTATTAGCTATAAATTTAGCTATTTTACAAACGAATATTTTGAATTTGATTTTAGTATTTAAAGCAAAAAAAAAACAACATTTTTCGATTAAGTCCCAAATTGTACGTAATGATCTGCGCGATACTACCACCACGACTTTGTCGTAATTATACCATCACTAGTTGTGAATTTATACCATCGCTAATTCTTCTTGCGCAGCAATGACAAATGCTGCCATGATTATACCGTGCCTTCCAAATATTTAAAAATGATTCCAGTTAATCAAAAATATAATTCTGATGATGATTTGGATGTGGACCAAATTGTAACATTATTAAATAACATTTAAAAATAAAATTTAAAGTAAATGCATAATGCATAAAGGTTTCAGCTATTTTGTAAGCTATTTTAAAATTTGTTTAGCTATTTTCAGCTATTTTTTAGAGACGATTTTGCTATTTTTATGTCTCAAAACCTGGCAACACTGCTTGTCAGTGCATTTCGCTTTTTATCGCTTATCTCTTTTCGCTTACTTTACATTGCAAATCCTGTCTATTCTCTATTTTCTCACCTCTCTCTTCTCTCTCCTCATCTCTGTCATTTTTCTTTTCTTTTGTAACTTATCCTTGCTTCTCTCATCTCACACATCTTTTCTCACTTCTCTCGCTCGTACTAGTTCTCAATTTTGATTGGCCAACATGTAGCATATTATTCTATTCTCTGCGCAAAGCCAATATGCCCGTTTCGCACATCATATTGGCGAGCATAACAACAACAACAACCAATCGGCGATAAGTGTTGTTTCTTCCTACGCTTCCGGCCAGTCAAGTGGAGGCATTGTTATCGTACTTTCTGTCATGTAAACACGGCAATGGCTACAGAAGACACATGGAGCCGGCACGCACAGTGGAGCAAGACCTAGCTGAATGTGCGAAAGCTAGGTTTTCATAATATATAAATGTAAATATATTGACTAGACTCACTTGCTGAATAACTGAACTCAGCACTCAGACTCAATTTAGTATAACTATTATATTTTCGTATACCTACTGCATTTATAATTTTAGACTCGATGCTTCTAGAGATCCAAAGATCTTGGTTAGCGATCAAGCAAAACTACTTTCCACAAGTTATGTAAGAAATAATCAAAAGAATTTGTAAACCGTGTCTTGAAATAACTACATCTATATATAGTAGATTATCTAGTTAGTAATCCCACAAAAACAAATCATAAATCACCATATTTAATTCGCCTGTCAAGCATCATCGATGATGAAATGAATATTTTCCTAAGAAATTTGAATATATTTGTTTTTTAGAATCATTTTCTCTAAGTCTCGTGCTATACATGCCGAGACTAATGGACTATATAATAATGCGATTAGAATCTAATCCAGAAACATTCATTAGATTACATAAATATTAAGTGATCTACAATCTTGTATAGTAATTGCTTTGGGAAAATGGATCAAAAATCAAGTTTGCAGCAATTAACGACTTATATAATTGTTATCGATAAATGTTAACTAACTGTTCGGGTATTTCTAATTTTTCGACTGCGGATTCCCCGCGTTCTTTTTTTTTTTTTAATGATATCAAAGTGCTCTTTCTTGCTTTTCTATATGCTTTCACTTTGTTTCTCCACTGAGTTATCGATAACAATGAACACGTATTTGGGCCTCGCTGCTAGCCTGGTTATACTGTGCACATGTAGCTTACAATGTTTTGCTGTTATTGCCGTATTTTTTATTGGCATTATTGTCAAAATACAAGTGCATTATTATGTAGGTCCATAAAGATCCAATATCTTTATATGCCCTAGGCAAACAATTGGCCAGCTAATGGCAAATGGCAAATGGCAAATGGCGCTGCATGACGTGGCCTTGATCTATGAGCTGTGAGCTAGTCCTAAATTACGATATTCTTGGTTCCTTTTGCAGGTGGAGTCTGTACAGTGGACATTCGATAAGACAACACCCGATGACATCAACGGCGAGCTGCGCCACTTGGCCGAGTTTTTGGCCACCAAGCAGTTCGATTTGGTTATCAATTTGCCAATGCGTGGTGGCGGTATACGCAGGTGAGTCCAAGCAAGGTTGGGATAAAGGATATGAGTAGAAGATGTATCCATAAATGATATATAGATAATACATACATATAACATGAATCCAGGTCCTTCATATTTATATGTGTTCTCTTATTCAACTCACCTTATGTTGTTAACGCCCTTCTATGCGATTTTCATGAGCACTACTCTATATAAAGTGAAATTTTGATGATCGATTCATGATATAAACATGATCAATATACATGTGTATATCATATTTTATAGCATATCTATATGTATATATACTTTCATTCATACAACTCATCTTATGTTGTTAACGCCCTTCTATGCGATTTTCATGAGCACTACTCTATATAAAGTGAAATTTTGATGATCGATTCATGATATAAACATGATCAATATACATGTGTATATCATATTTTATAGCATATCTATATGTATATATACTTTCATTCATACAACTCATCTTATGTTGTTAACGCCCTTCTATGCGATTTTCATGAGCACTACTCTATATAAAGTGAAATTTTGATGATCGATTCATGATATAAACATGATCAATATACATGTGTATATCATATCTTATAGCATATATACTTTCATTCATACAACTCACCTTATGTTGTTAACGCCCTTCTATGCGATTTTCATGAGCACTACTCTATATAAAGTAAAATTTTGATGATCGATTCATGATATAAACATGATCAATATACATGTGTATATCATATCTTATAGCATATATACTTTCATTCATACAACTCACCTTATGTGATTATCGCCTTTCTACGCGATTTTCATGAGCCCAACTGTACACAGTTGATTAATTAGATTTGAATTTGTATTTAGGGTCTCATCATTCATGACCCATGGCTATCGGACACGTCGCTTAGCCGTCGACTATTCCATACCCCTGGTAACGGACGTAAAGTGCACCAAGCTGCTGGTGGAATCGATGCGCGTGACGGGTCGCAATCCGCTCATGAAGACCCACACCGACTGCATGACATCGCGTCGCATCATTAAGCTGCCTGGCTTCATAGATGTCCATGTGCATCTGCGAGAGCCGGGCGCCACGCACAAGGAGGACTTTGCCAGCGGCACGGCCGCCGCCTTGGCTGGGGGCGTCACCATGGTCTGCGCCATGCCCAATACGAATCCCTCGATTGTGGATCGCGAGACCTTCAATCAGTTCCGCGAGCTGGCACGCGCCGGCGCCCGCTGTGACTATGCGCTATATGTGGGCGCCTCCGATACCAACTGGGAGAACGTCTGGGAGCTGGCCAGCCAGGCGTGCGGCCTGAAGATGTATCTGAACGACACGTTCGGCACCCTGCGGCTGAGCGACATGGCCGCCTGGCAGCGCCATCTGTCGCGCTGGCCCAAGCGGGCGCCCATCGTGTGCCACGCGGAGCGGCAGAGCATGGCGGCTGTCATTCTGCTGGCCCACCTGCTGGAGCGACCGGTGCACATTTGCCATGTGGCCCGCAAGGAGGAGATCCAGCTGATACGCGCCGCCAAGGAGAAGGGTCTGCGCGTCACCTGTGAGGTGTGTCCGCATCATCTGTTCCTTAGCACACGCGATGTGGAGCGCCTGGGCGTTGGCATGGCCGAGGTGCGACCGCTGCTCTGCTCGCCCGAGGATCAGGAAGCGCTGTGGGAGCACATGGAATACATCGATGTGTTTGCCACAGATCATGCGCCGCACACGCTGGCCGAGAAGCAATCGGAGCGACCGCCGCCCGGCTTCCCCGGCCTGGAGACCATATTGCCCATGCTGCTGAAGGCCGTGCGCGAGGGCCGGCTCACACTGGAGGATATCAAGCGCAAGTTCCATCGCAATCCGCGCAACATATTCAATCTGCCCGAGCAGCCGCAGACCTATGTGGAGATCGACCTGGACGAGGAGTGGACCATTAACAACGCCGAGCTGAAGACAAAAGCGCAGTGGACACCCTTCAATGGCACCAAGGTCACGGGTCGCGTGCATCGCGTCGTGCTGCGCGGCGAGGTGGCCTACATTGATGGCGAGGTGCTCGTCCAGCCCGGCTTTGGACAGAATGTGCGCGCCAAGATGCCGCTGCCGCAAAAGTCGGAAATGGAGGGCAGCGAGCTGCCCAGCGATATGGATGCCAACGACACCTTCACCCGCCTCCTGACCGAAGGAACCAGCACCGCTGCCCCGCGTGTCTCGGCCGTGCATTTCGTGGATGAGGCCAACGTGAGCACATCGCCGGCAGCGGGCAATTTCCTGCGTCCGGTGTCGCCATCGCCACGCCTGCGTCTCGATTCCAACACGGCACTGAAGGATTATCTGCAAAAGAGCTCGTCGTTGTCGGAGCCGAATCCCGTGGCACACTGCTTGGTCGGCAAGCACATCCTCTCCGTGGACATCTTCGATAAGGAGCGGCTCAACGATCTGTTCAATTTGGCGCAGCTGCTCAAGTCGCGCGTGACCAAGGATCGGCCCGTCGACGATTTGTTGCGCGGCAAAATCATGGCCAGCATCTTCTATGAGGTGAGCACGCGCACCCAGTGCAGCTTCAGTGCGGCCATGCAGCGCCTGGGCGGTCATGTCATCACCATGGATCAGGTCACCTCTTCGGTGAAGAAGGGCGAAACACTGGAGGACAGCATCAAGGTGATGGCCAGCTATGCAGATGTCATGGTCCTGCGTCATCCCGAGCCGGGCGCCGTCTCGGTAAGCGAATATTGAAGATATATTAAATGTTGTGCTTAGCTAATTCGTAATCCTTCGTTGCCTTCCACAGCGTGCTGCATCGTTTTCGAGAAAGCCGCTGATCAATGCCGGCGATGGAGTCGGAGAGCATCCCACGCAAGCGCTGCTGGACGTATTCACCATCCGTGAGGAGATTGGCACAGTCAACGGCCTGACCATCACCATGGTCGGCGATCTGAAGAACGGACGCACCGTCCACTCATTGGCCCGCCTTCTCACCCTCTACAATGTCACGCTCCAGTATGTCGCTCCGTACGGCTTGGGTATGCCCGAGAGCATTATGCGTTATCTGCATCAGCAAGGCGTCAACCAAGTGACCTTCGACACCATTGAGCAGGCGCTGCCCACCACCGATGTGCTCTATATGACACGCATTCAGCGTGAGCGCTTCCAGAGCGAGGAGGAATACCAGCGAGTAAGTACAAATAAATGAAGTTGACAAAGTTATCTGGGAATTGATGTGATTTATTTATTTATTTTTTGCAGTGCTGTGGCCACTTCATTGTAACGCCCAAGCTAATGACGCGGGCCAACAAACGGACAATCGTGCTGCATCCGTTGCCTCGCGTCGATGAGATCAGCCGTGACTTCGACTCGGATCCGCGTGCCGCTTACTTCCGGCAGGCGGAGTACGGCATGTACATTCGTATGGCGCTGCTGGCGATGGTCGTCGGCTGTCGCAGCACGGCGCTTTGAACGAATTTAAATGAATATTTTTTCTATTTTTGTACTTTTTTTTTTTCATACATAAACACAAATTTTTGCTAACATTGTTGCGGTTTGCTTTTTTATATTTTAATGGTAACGGACTAAATGGCTACAGTATCGGTTGTTGCCTCGGCTAGCTGTCGATAATTTGGTTATCGATAGCATTTCTTGGCATTGCTCAACACACGCACAAAAAAGTGCGCCAAATTCGCAATGAATTCAAATAATCATGAAAAAAAAAAAATGTGTATTCTATAATATAATTCGCTTAATGTTATGTTTGGCTGTGGCGGCTTCGTTGGCGCCACCACGGCATCTCAGTCTCTTGTGTTCACAATCATCACGTGCTTTCCCAGCGCTATCACTGCGTCTAATAGCGCTGAACCACAATTGCTGTGGGCCATTGATTATCCTTGTCCTTGTCCTTGTCCTTGTCCTTAACATCGACGCTAAGGGTCAGTGTGCTCTCCGCAAAGGCGGCATTCAGATTGCCGGCCAACTGTGGCTGCGACCGCTCCACGCTGGTCATGGCCACGGCCAATGATTTGCTCGGATCTTGCTGCTGCAAGGCCTTCCTTTTGTGGCAACAGCTAAAAGACATTTCAGCTAACTGAATCTTCATATGGCTGATGATTTGTGGAAATAATCACTTACGTTTTACGCTTGCGACATGCCACCATCGAAACGAGCACGGCCAATATAATAATGGCTGCTAATAAGCCCGACAAACCTGCCACCATGGTCATCATGCCGTGCGGTTCCCCATCCGAGGTCACCTTAGTAACTACAACAGAGAGAGCGAGAACAAGAGCGAAAGAGAGCAGGAGACAGAGAGAGAGAGAGAGAGAGAGAGAGAGAGAGGTTAGTGATCTAGTTTGTAGCAAATGCCTAGCTGTCTGGCAGTTTTTGGCCTGATTCATGATGCACATTCGACTCAGTGTTTCAGGGCCAAGTCGCTGTTGAACTTCAACTTGTTTATAATCGGTGATTGGCTCGCCGGCTGGCTAGTTGGCTGACTGGATAGAGAGTCGTTTTATTGTCGTTTGCCTATGCCCCCGTTTGGCAATGGCCGACGCCCACACCGACGCATTTCCGCCATTGGGACAGATTACTTTCTAAGCCGGAAGCTAGGCGCTTGGTCGCGCCGGGACACTCACTTGAATCTTCGACAACGAAACGTTTGCTGTTGGGCAACGCCGAGGCCTGCACATAGCTATTTGGCTCCATTCCAAATTGTTAGCTGAGGCGAACTGCTGGAAGAGAGCAAAAAACCAAATATACATATAAATAAAAGGCCCTGAGATTATTAGCTGCATTAACCAACACATAACAGCAACACAACTGTTATTTATGCGGCTATCTCTTGTGCATTGTATATTAACCCAGTTGCAGCAACCGCTAGCCACGGTCACGCTCGACTCCATCCGATTGTTGGCCAATCTCTCGGAGACTACTCGCGTCCGCCCACTCCCAGCCAAGCCACGCCACGCCCAGCTGTAGCTTGTGCTAATTAATCGATCTACCCAACGTATTCGTTCATCTGGCCTTATCAACATGCGACAACAACAGCAGCAACAACAACAACAACAGCAGTGACAAGATTTTCGGTTTAGGTTTCGTTTTTCAATTATATTCGAGCTACCGTTGCCGTTGTTGCCATTGTTGTTGTTGTTGCTGCTGCTGATGTCGCTGTTCGTGATTTAGATGACATTAATTAATTAGATTTAATTGTTGAGTGCTTGTTCTCAAACAATTAAAAAAAACGAAACGAAAATAAAAAGAATTTGAGAAAGTTTCGCGCCTGGCAGCACTAGTCAACAGCATACAGATCCCAAATGCAGTGCTGGGAAAAAGATCGATCTAGCAAACGATATATCGATGTTTCATATCCATCGAAAATATCGATGTAGAAAACTTCGATACTTGATATATCGCCATCACTATACCATTAATTCCCCATCACTTGAATTAAAAGCGTGGGATAAGACTGTCAGGTAATTTGCAAATTATTTTAACAATATAATTCAAATACTAACGTAACCCACTTTTCATTTAGGATTTTGGTGTTGGTAGTGTTGTAGAGAAATGGATAAGTTTTTAAACAGCAAGGACAATGGCGAAGGTAAATATTATTTTACTGCTTATGTCAGCCACACACGTGGTCTGCAGCTTTTGCGTTTTAAAATAATGTAACAAACACGCATTTGTTTGTAGATTGCGACGCGGATAAGGAAAATGGAGAGGCTTGTCTCAAGCCGCAGCAAGTAGATATGCTGCTCTTCATAAACAAAAATGATTGGACGAAGTAAATGATCTTATTAAATAATATAATCTTTGTTACATAGTTTAGTTTAGTTTATATGAAACGTTTTTTAATTTTAATAAGAAATTCATCTTTTGTTTTTTATATGAAAACTTTTTTTTTAATTTTGGGAGCTAAAATATGTTTATGAAAATATCGATACATCGATCTGAGACCCATACATAATATCGAAATATCGATCTACGTAAAGATCGATCTTTTCCCAGCACTACCCAAATGCCGGAGCAGTGTTAAGCAAGGCAATTAGTCTGATCTAACAGCTAGTAATGGAAACGCTGCATTTGCAATGCGTTTTAATGGAAACATGTCGTTTTACTATATACATATATATATATTTTATTTTTTGCTTCTGTTTTTGCTTTTGCTTTCTCAATGCCTATGCCAATATTTCCGTTACCTTTCAGGAGAGCTTTTCGAGTGCGTAGTGTGCTTTTTGCATGGCAATAATAAAGCTGCAATTGATTTATGGCTAATTAAAATGATCTCGTGAGCATGTTTAAGTACGAATTACCCAATCAAAGCGAGTCAAGCTGCAATCAATTTGTAATTTGCATAGAAATGGCCAACTTATGTTAATGTCCCACACAATCTAACTATATCTTTGCATGTACACACATACGTGCATATGTGTGTATGCATGCACGCGTGTGATTATGTATTGGTCTTTAATTTATTTCAAATAACTCGGACTTATTTGACACGTGAGTGATATGATTTGGCAATTAAATGGGCAGCAACCAGTTTGGTCTGCAGCCACGTGCCGCCATTTGATGACCATTCGAAATAGATAGTGAATAATAAATATTCTGCGTGAAATGCGAAATTCATCAAAAATAAATACACACACACATATATATGTATACAATGGTGTATGTAAGCATGTAAATACGTATATGTTGCGAGTGACTTCAAAAGCTGTCATTTTAACGATGTAAGCATGCCTACATAAATATGTATGTATGTATGTATGTATTCCCCATTCATTTTTATTCATTCTTTGTAAAAACATATTTAGTTTTATACGCTTTTCTTCTTCTTTCTCATTTAATGATTCGCTTATATACGCACATCTAGTGGATGCTTGCGGAATTTCTAAAATTTGCAACCAATATTGATACGGAAAGAGGAACTTTTCAGTAGAACATGCACAGAATGTTAACTGTTTACAGCTTTAGCTTTGTTCATCTGGGTGCGTTATTTCAATTTCTGTTTCAGTTTCTGCTTTTTTTTATGGCAAGTGCTTGATTTGCATTTCAATAAAAAAAAAACTATCGAAATCGTTATGTATTCTTAAATGGGACATAGATACACACACACATACATACAATTTATTGTTATTTAACGGATTAACATATCGACGTACACATGTAAATCCCAGCTAAACACTCAATTCCAATTGGAAATGGCATTTCGCTTGCCTGTTGCGCTGCAGCCAATTGGGAGGAACGCTGGGAAATGGACTGGGACTGGGAAGAGGTGGGATTGCATGACAACGGGCGAAATTACTGGAGAAATGCGAGTTCGAGTTTAATAGCAATACAAATTGACATTTTATTTCATTCTTTTGTGATTTGTGAGGCTTTATATACATATTTGTGTTCTTTATAGTTGAATTTATTTAATCAGCTGTTTGTTTGCAGCGATTTGCAAGTTAATTGCACAAAAATTATAGTTATAAATAACAGAACGGGATTGGGAGTGGAAGTGGAAGTGGAAGCACAGTCACATGTCCGATATATATATATATATATGTATATAGATACATATGTATAAATGTGTGTGTACATATACTAAGGCAACTGTCATAAATATGCTAAAATTAGTAAATTGGCAATTGCAGCTCGCACTCTTGGTTGATCAAATGATAGCTAATCCAATAAAAAGATGACAACCAAAACAAACCATATGAAATTTGTATACATATATTGTGAATGGAGCAGGCCAATAAATATATATGTATGTATACACTCAATCTTTGGCATTATAAAAGCTGCTAATTTCCTTCAGAGTTTGACAAGGTTTCTTGATTCAAGATGCACGACTAACAAAATACAAAATAGTACAAAAAGAGAATTTCTTCTCAATTTGATGATTTCCTAATCAGAATTTATTTTTGCTTCATACTTCCTCTACATGATCCGTACATACATCTGTCTATCTGACTTGCAAAAATATATATATATATACATATGTACATATGTATATATTCTCGGCCTCGGCTATTCAACTACTTTCTACATAATTGCGAGATGCTTCAGACCGACGCACTTGAAAGAAGTACCGAGGTGTGCCCATAAAATGCTTCGATGTAACACTGAAATCTTTTTATTCGAATTTTTAATACTTTTCAAAATTCTTATTTCAAGTAGAGCACACTGAAGTCCTTTTAATTTGTTCACTAAATGTTTGCTTACATTTTCTTAAGGATATGTTTTTATGATTTCTTGTTTTTTTTGCTTTTACGGTTCGTTGTATTTTTTTGGGATCTTTGAAAATGAAAACTGTGAACTGACGTCGACGACACTCGGCGTACGACTAATGCTGGCTACGTAAAGCCCAAACGTAACTTTCGATTGCGCCAAAAGCGAGCGACGGCGACGTCGACGACGACGTCGGCATCGGCATCGGCATCGGCTTCAACTTGAACGTAGACGTTGCAAGCAAACAAACGGTTGAATGGAATGGAAATGGGAATCGAAATTGGAATTATATTCGGAACAGAAGGCACTCGTCGAGCTGCTCTGAACTGCTCCAAGTGCGAACTTAAACTTGACGCTCCAAACGATTTTGTTTAATGAGCTTAAATCGAATTAAACGCAATGAAACTGGAGCTGACGTTGCGACATGTGCGCGAGCATATGAAAGCGATGCGACAATTCAATGTCAAGCGAGAAGCGAGAAGCAACAAGCGACAAGCGGAGAGTCTGCTCCACACATTCATTTATGTTCCAGCCAAGCGATCAGCGTTTGCGACTCAACATTACTCATACGAGATGCGGCCCGGGATGACGTCGGGTGTAACAAGAGTTTTCGATTTCCAGCCAACTGATAAGAGCGGCAGGTATTCAGACAGTACATGAATTGTATGTTAGCTGCTTGTTTCTCAGTTATTCCTGCATTGATTCAATATTCAATGATTCTTACCTGCCCAAACCCCTGTTCCGGGTTCTTTGCTAATTTCCCCTCCACTAAATTGCTAAGCGGCTGATTCACTTGGCCAGCTTACCCAACTTGGCTAGCTGCTGTTGTAATGCAAATTTTCAATTGAGGCAAAAAAGAATTTTTAGCAATTCTTTTTACAATTTTCATTCGAGTTTGATTCTAACATAAACAGAATATACTGACGATATATGTATGAATAAGCTGTGCGACAAAATTTGACATTTAAAAACGTTTTTATTTAGTCACAAGCTAGTAACAGGCAGAAGTAGGCATTGCCTATACCGTACATATACTTATGTATGTATTCTTATGGTGGTTCAACTGCCATCTGTTTATTCATCCATCCGTACATACATACCTCCGTCCATCCCTCTTTCCTTCCGTCCGTCCATTCGTCCGTGCCTTCTGTCATCTGACTATCTACTCGTCCGCCTCTCTGTCCGTCCGTCTGTCCATTCGTTCGTCCTTCCATCCATCTATCTATCCTTCCGTCTGTGCGTCTGTCCGCCTGTCCATCCGCTCCTCCGTCCGTCTATCAGTCCGTCCGTCCATTCGTCCGTCCAATCTTTCTTCCCTCTGTCTGTTTGCCTATCCATTCATTCGGCAGTTCGTCAGTCCGATCGTCCGTCCATCCATCCGTTCGTCTATATGCACGAATATATCGATTTTAAAGATGTGAAGTTCGATAAGTCGGAAAAATGCTAGAAAAAATTGCCAAATTATCAATAATCTTTTCAAACCCTATAAAATTAATCGACGTATAAAATAATACCTATCTTCAGTAGCTTACGCATAGATATTATGTTCTCACACCTAGAACAGTTTAGTTATTTATTTGTTTCCTAGTCAAAGTCAAAATAAGTTGAGTTTAGTAGCAAGACAATTGGAAAACAGTTTTGTTTATATTTTACTTCAAGTCGCATTAGCAATAATATATCATAGATATAATGAGCTGTTGTTGTTGTTGTTGAAGTATATATGGGTCTAGGTACATGTGGCGTCTGTCCCTTGGTCCCGTGGTGCCGGGCACACTTATAGATAAACATCAAATGTTTACGGTTCCATTCGCTTGAACAATATTTTCTCTATTTCAAAGCAAAAGCAAAGCAGCCAAAAGCAGAGCCAAACACAAAAGCAACAAAAGTCCAAAGGCAAAAACAAAAGCAAAAGCAGATGTCAATTAAATATTACATTCATTGCACTCTCTGATAGCTGTTTATTTATTTAGAATATTAGATAAGCATACTATGTACTTATAATATGTATTATATAAATATATCTACAGTATATATGTATGTATATATGTAGACACGACTCGCTCACACGATTGACAGCGATTCTATTCAGGATGTTAAGTAATAGTTAGCTTATCCAGATGTCAATTAACATCTGCCATTTAGCTACTGCGTTCATCTCAGTTCCTGATAAAACAAAAGCAAAAATTCGAAACTGTAATAATAATTATTTTTCATTCTGTGTGAAAGAAAAGCTATTGAAACTGTGTTATTATTTTTATGGCTGTTCGAAAATCTAACTGTTACTTAATGTAATATAATTTGCTGTTTTCTATAATTCAGCTCGATCAGCGACGGTTCTATATATATATGTATATATAGATATCGAAAACAAACAACATTCCTATATATACGAACAGGTATAAATAGATCTATGACGTTGTTAATCAACGAAAACTGAGAACATTGTAGTCGACTGCCTAATACTCGCTTAAAAGCAAAAAACGACGCTTGAAATCTTTAAGGCCAAACTTTTTTATAGTTAAGATAATCAATTATTGCTGCTACTGTAACACTTCCTATTAATTCTAATGAAAATGTTGTCCAAAGTGAAATGAAATACCTCTGATTATACAGAAACCCAGATGGTTTATTATTCGTGCAATCGAGCTAACTCAGTTATTGACACTCAGACTTTACAAGAATTTCGGACGGACTCGAATCAATGTTAAAATCCATGCTTGAATCGTATAGTCTCTTTTTCTTTCTTCACCCATCTCGTTTTTTTACTTTTTCTCTATTAATTTCTCTGTCATCTTTATATTTTCTTCCCTCTATCTCCCTCTCTAATCTCTAATGATCTGCCGTTTCTTTCGCCGATATTCTTGTTTCGTTATATATGAGCGGGTATGTAAATTCTTTACACTCAGCATGGGAAATAGTAGAGAAAGTCGAGTTAGTCCAATTGTAATCTTAACGCGTAATACGCTCTATGGGCAAATCAGTTTTGCTCTGCTTGGGAAATTTTTTTTTGGAAAATTGCCTCTGCCACTTCAGAGAACGTATACATATACAAATATATATATATATATATTGTATGTCTCTATATGTACATACATATGTACCTGTATATATCAAGCATGCCAAATACAAACCTTTGAATTGCGTTGTTTATGGGAATATATGTATATAAATACAGTTGATTATTGTCTTTTGGTTATGTCAAATGCCGTTTTTTATAACTTAATAGATGTATTTATTATGCAGGGGACAGGAATTCGTCACATTGTTTAAGCGAGTCGCACTTGTAATTTTAATTGAACAAAACCTCTTCAATTGTTGTTTGCATGCGCAAAGTATTTCTCTGTTTCTTATTTATCTGTATCTTATTTATTTAAATAATAAAGCAGGAGTTCACAAAATCTTATTAAAACATGTATATTTTTCTTCTGAATACAGTATATAAAAACACATTGATTTCTGTCGGCATTTAAACACTCTCCGCCTCAACGGCATCGGCCTCAATGCGCGCACAGAAAAGTTCGTACTAAATATTTGTTTTTATTTTTGCTTCTCTTTTTTTGTTTTTTGTTTTTGTATTTGTTTGTTGTTTTAATTTAGATTTGCTTTCTCGAAAGACTATATCGCATATATGTACATTTTCTAAGCATATAGTACACAAAACTTATAAGAGACGTCACTCGGAAGAAGCCAAATAAAATAGTATAATGAATGTTTTAAGCTATTTATTTGTTTATATTATTTGTAATAAATCAGGTTGCTTATTTGTAATTTATTTGAGATGATCATTATGCATTACATTTGTTTAAATATTTATTTTTAATATATTTAAATTATTCTATTCATTTGATTTATTTTTGTATTATTTCGTTCATTGAAATCTTCATTGGCCGTTAAGTGTTATCGTTCATAGCGATAGCTGCCCATGACGGGCGTTCATTAATTGAAATTCAAATTAATCGATAGATGTGCTTCACTTCCGCATTGATTCCAGCTAAAGCAGTGGCGCATGCGTTACAACTGCACGTGCAAGAATCGTGACAGAATTGGCAATTCGTCAAATGCCATCACTAGATAACTGTGCAAGTCCACCAAACTGTGTAACTAAGAAAGCGTGCACATGCTAATCTGTGTGTATGCGCACGTGTGTGTGTGTGCGTGTGTGTGTGCGTGAGTATGCAACAACTGTTACAACATTCTGACACATCACAGATGCTTCGTTAGGCTACAGTTAGCTGACGTTGACGTCAACGGGAAGCTATTGTGACGCCAGCGCAGTAGCAGCAGGCAGCAGCAGTTGCATCGGCGACAATAATAATTGATTTTGATAACAGCCAAGTTAATTTTACCGTCAAACAGCTTACCTCTGCCCACAGCTCACACCCCTCACCCCTCCGCACGTCCAGCGCCAGCCAAGCTGCTAAACATTTGCCCACTCCCACTAAATACAAATTGCCGTTGCGCCTGATAAATTACACTAATCGCTGTGCTACGACGCCAGCGGCGACGACAACATCGACATACATACATATATGTATGTGTGTATGCATGCCTCTATATGTATGTGTGTCTGTGTGTAGCTGTATTTGTTTTTGCATTGTTTGCGTGTCTCGATAAATCTTCGCTTTTGGCTCCGTCTCTCCCTTTCTATCGCACGCCAAGCACGACTTGAAAGCTCGCTAAACAGGAAAGGAACACAAAGTGCCGTAAGTGCCGTTATTGAAATTCGACCGATTCTATGCATGCGCGCTAACACACAGAGCGAGAAACATTTTAAATTGATTTGTTTGCGACTGCAGAAGTTGATAAGCTGCTACTTGGCCTCGATTGTAATTTTCCAAACAACTTTTGCCAAATACGTTGTATTTGAATAATATAACGTATGCATATTCAAATACACTGCCACCGAAAAGTTATTACACGCACTGGCTGTGCTACTGCTGGTAAATTATCTGATAAATTATCAACACTTTCTTTGCCGCCCTCTCCCGCAAAACAACTCTTTTACAAACTCCAAAAAGTATGCTATTTTTTATTATTATATGATGAGCTTTGCTGCTTAATTAAATGAATTCATTATGCAGCTGTAATCAATTTGAAACCAAAGCAGTTCAGAAGGTAAATACCAGAGCTTTCCTAGTTATCCCCAACATGCATGAAGTAAAGTCAAGTTGTTGGGCGCATTTGATGGGTTTTCGGGCTGTGTCCTTTTCTCATTATCTCAGCCGTTGTCCAAATAGTGTCAGTATGGAAGTTCAAACTCGAATCCGGAATCCGAAGCCTGAGCGTTGAACATAACGAAGTAAACTGCACGCCAACTGGTCCCAACTACAGCGAATCGATGCTACCCTTTTTGTTCCTATTCATTCCGAAGTATTCCCACCAAGAGGTTGGCTTTGGTGCGCTTCCAGCCGCAGCAGGTGCAGCAGCCGAATCTGGGGCTGCTTGACTGACGCTTGCATTGGCTGCCGCGGCCTTGGATGCCTCACGCTTCAGGGCGACCGCGGATCGCGATCGCTGGGCCGCTGTATTGGCCACGGGCTTCACTCGCGACACAGATTCCTTATTCCCGGTGCCGATATTGGTGACCGCACTCGTCTGGATGGTTGCGCTCGATTGCTGTGGTGTTGGTGCCAGGCTCTCACTTCCATGGTTCCGCCGGCGTCTATCGCCGCCGAACAGTTTACCCAGGTATGGCATGCACATGACTTTGAATGTTGGGCGTTGGCAAAACAGAAATTTAGATTTTCGTAAAAGGTCGAAATGTTAATTTAGTTCGATCTATTTATCGTATGCCTTGTATGATGTAATCTGAAATCGTTTTCATCTGTCAGATTAGGCTGTTGATTGCTAGCGCTTGGCTTACTGTGGCAGGCAAGCCGAGGGCGAGAGAGAGAGAGAGAGGGAGAGGGAGAGAGATAGAGAGGTGTGAGAGAAATATGGAAACTGAGAAATATAGAGAAACTAAAAGAAATATAGAGAAAGAAGAGATAGGGATGCACAGGACAGGACACAGGAAGAGGAACATACAGAGAGAGAGAGAGAGAGAGATAGAAAAAAATAAAGAGAAAGAGAAAGTGAAAAAACACATAGTGAGAGCGAGGAAGAGAAAAACCAAGACACAGAGGGTTTGGGAAAGAACAAAAGAGCTAGCGAATCTAACGGACTGAGAAAGAGAGGCGATAAAAAACTAAGAGACTAAAAAGATATAGAAACTGGAAGAGAAGGGAGAGGAAAAAAGAGGGATTGACAAACAGACAGACAGAGAGGGAAAGGGACTAATTAAAACAAAGACGGAGAGAGGGGAAAGAGACAGACAAAAAGCGAGAGAGCCATAGAGAGAGAAAAAAGAAACACTCAGGGACTGAGAAAAGGATTGGAATTGAGAGAGAAGTTAAAAAAGGAAGGAAAGACAAAAATGGTAGTAAAATACGATTTATAAATAGAACATTGAGTAAACATAAATAAATAGAGAATTTTCGATCATGTGAAGACAGAGCCGAACCACTGTGCAGCTGTTGCCGCAGCCATCGCTGGGGGGCAGGCAGCGCTATTTATAGACGCGTTGCATCCGCAGCGTCTGTGCCTCTGCGGCTTTGTGCATCTGTGCTGCAGCAGGCACAATGCGTAGGTTAGTATCTTACGAATCGGCGTGCAGCATCGATGGCTTCCCTTGGCGTACGGCGCATGAATCAGCCGCTGGGCATCCGGGTCTGCTGCTGTCGCATTTGTACCTGCATCAACTTTGGCTTTGTGCTCTCGCCGGGCGGCCTGCTCAAGCTGATGCAGCTCGGCCTGGCCACGCTGTGCGAGGGACTGCTGATACGCTACGGCGTGCCATATGCCGATTCCATTGGGCAGGCGCTGACCAGCTTCTTGGCCACAACGGGCCACTGTTTCACCACCACGGGCATACTGCTGCTCTGCTATTGTTTCTCGGACAAGTCCTATGGCCTCATACGCCAGTCCCTCTTTGTGAGTAGCCACATTCTTGTATATCTAACTATGTGTAGTCTATAGACTTTGGCATTCGCAGGAAACACTGTTCCATGGCCTGGCCAGCTGCATGTACTTCAGCTCAGCCAGCTACATGGGCTTCGCCTGCGTTGTCTGGCTGCATCCGCAATTTCTAGTACGTCCCGGCTTCTGGGCATATCCGGCCATGACTGCCGCCTATGTAAGTATTGGCCATAGCTCAATTTCAATATACATATATATATATATATATATATTATCTATTGTATTCTTCTATGCAGTACATGGGCTATGCTGCGGGACTCCTACATGCTATCGACGCCTATCTCTCCTTCAAGTACTTTCGCAGAGCTAGCTAAGAGTGATGGGCTTTAAGGTATGCTTGATTATGCTTTTATAAATCCGACATGAACTTAAAAGATAGTTAAAGATGCTGCACTAACTGATATATAAACTATGTATAATATGTACATATATTTTACATCTGACTTTTACTATCTCTCTCTCTCTCTCTCTCTCTCTCTCTCTCTCTCTTTATCAGCGTGGAAAGTGTTGCAAATTTTTAAAAAGTTGTTTGATTTCAACTCGATTTTGAACATCCAATTGCAATACATAAAGCCTAATTTAAAAATATTAATTTATACCTAACTTCAACCATCATTAACTAATTTGTTTTCTCTCCTTCTCTTTCTCTTTTTATCACTGAACAGTTTATTCAGCCCAGACGAGCTCAACTATGCAACGACTTAATCTAGAGCTAAGACATATACTTATATACATATATAGATGTTTTTATATATACTAAGACTTTTCGCTGACTGATCTCTCCTATAAAGATGTCCAAGAAATTCGCATTTATCATGCAATTACAGTTTATATATGCATTTATGCAATTAGGTACGTTAAATGTATTTAAATATAGATAAATATGAGCGCAAACTCGTATTTAAGGCACCATTAGTTGAGAGATTTACAATAAAAGCATTTAAGTATATGTAAATTTGTATGTAAATGGACTGGTTCGCGTTTATACATATATTGGCCAGAATGATGGCCGTTAGCACCGTCTAAGCCATTTTATTGGCCGCTTTGAATTTCCTAAATGGATAAACAAAGTCAATATTAACAATATTTATATTAATATTAGCTTCAGTTCGTACTTAAGCTGCTTCAGCGCCTGGCTGGTCTCATAGTCAGCCTTCAGCAATCCAATGCGCACCCAGCGCGGACGCTCGTGAATCACCTTGTGTATGAGAAACTTGAGGCCCAGCAGCAGATGCTCGAAGATGACAAAGGACAGATCCGGTATGGAGGGCAGCCAATGGGCGAAGAATTGTCTGACAAAGAGAGCAAACATATAAATATATAAAGTGAGAGAGTGAGAGAGACCGAGAGAGAGAGAGTCAGCTATAAATTTACTTGACATTCGGCTGGAGAAAGAGCAGGCCGCAGTTGCTCAGCAGCGACATCACAGAGAGCAGCTCGAAGGCCAGCTGCCAGGCGCCAATGTTCTTGGCACGACGCGCGAACGGACGCTTGAAGATGTTGCACAGCTTGAACATGTCGATGTGGACGGCGAACACGTTGTTGATCAGCGCACCGATGGCGGCAAAGGGCGCCACGGCCGCAAAGAGCACCACGTAGCCGAACTGTATGCAGACCTGCAGATAGTCCTCGTAGGTGGAATGGTACTCATCGAGGCCGGATTCGTAGAATGCTTGCTCGTAACGCGGCTTGTTGCTGATGCCGCGCAGCTTCTCTGGCTCGATCTCTTTGTGGCGATACTTGGCATACTTCTGTCGCAGCACCGCCATCAGTGGTATGCCAATCTCCTGTGCTATGCACACCAATTGGAAGATGAGCAACTGCATCATCAGCTGGTACTTGAGCTGCTTGAGATCCTGCAACACGAACGCAATATAAAACTGGGAGAAGAAGTTGTTGACAATCTCGAAGAGCATCAGCTTATTGACCCGATGCCGCTCGTACTGCGACCTGGTGCGATGATTTTCCAAATTAGTCAGGAATGTGGCAAGTTTTTCGTATGCCCACGAGAAGATCGCTATCAGCATGGACTGCACAATGACGGGTATATAGAGCAGCCAGGAGTCCGCCCCGAAATCGGCTAGCACCTCGGCCTCTATTTGAAACTGATACAGAGCAAACCAGGCGGCAGCCACCACACAGCCCAGCACCACCGGATACGAAATGCAATACATTTGCAGGTACGTATAGCGCATCGGATAGTGCAGAGTCATCTTGCCCGTTATCGGATCCGGCTTCAGTTGGCCGTGGTAACCAGCGCGCGGCTTATCCAAGCTGCTCATCTCAATGGTGCCCCAGCGATAGGATAGACCAGCACATCGACGCTTCCACAGTTCCAGAAATATCTAAAACGAGGAGATGAAAATGAGATTCAACGGGAAATCCAGATTTGATCACTCACCGTTGTCCAAACCACATAGAAGCTGCACACGAGCGAAAGATTGAGATTCATGAGGGATTGCAGTATGCCAAACACAGACGGAAAGATCAGGGCCTTCGTATAGAACTCAATGAAGGCAAAGTACAGGCCAATGCTGGAGCCAAAGTAGTTGCGTATCTCCTCGATGGGCAACGTTGTGCGTTTCAGGTTGAGATGGAAGCGATCCAAATAGAGCTGGAAGACAAAGTGGAAAGTGAATGATAGTTGTGATACTTTCGATGAATAGATGTAGAGGGAATACTCCCATTCCAATTGATCGGTACATACAATATCATGCAATGGAAACATGTCCTCGATGTAGCCTTTCTGTATGTAGGATCGTATAGCCGGCTCCACCACATCCTTAATCAGCACAGGTGTCTCGCAGTATTGCAATATTTGCTCCTGCGTCATGCCCGGCAGCAGAAAATCGGAGACACAACCATAGTTGAACTTTTGCATGCTGCCCGTTGTTGTCATCTTCTCCAGCTCGGCGGCATCGGCCAGACGGAGCAGCGTATCCAAGCTGGCCGACAGATACAAATACTTTTCGGTTTTGCTAAAATATGGTCAACAATGAAAAATATGATAATGGTAAATGCTAATCCTAATAGAGGTTTACCTGACAATTTCCAGTGTGGTTTGTATATCAAACTCCTGAATGATCTTCTCCACATCCTGGCAGTGGCGCAGTTTGGCCTTCTCCGTGAATATGATAACTATGTACGTCTGCAATAGATACGAAATACCTGTACTCATAGCATATATGTACATACATATGTATGTATGCACATACATATAATAATTTATTATTGCACGCAGACTAACCTTGCCAAATGTCTCCGCTTCTTCGTCGTCGTCGATGACGTCGATGGTGCCATGTTGCGAGCGCTGTCTCTGCAGCGCCTCGAGCTTCAAACTGCGCTGCCGGCGAAAGAGCTGATTTTCGATAATGTTTCGGGTGCGTGGACCTGGAATAATAAACAGTTTTATATAAACAGTTATATATATACATCATATAAATCACATCTATAAACTACTTACTCTTCGCATCTTCGGACATTGTTTATGATGAGTCGTCGCCGTTGCTGCTGCAAATGCGAATAACAATGCCAGAATTTTGCCAAAGCGGCGAATAAAGTGTCTCACTCATGCACACAGACACGCACACACACATGCATACACATATATTTTTCTGTATAATTATTAGGTTTGTCCCAATGCCAGCAAGAAAAATGTTTTAATAACGCCAAAACATTTCAAAACGTGGCCAGTGCCAGAGATTGTGGCTATTTTAGCATTTCTCTGATTATTGCCGGTTTCTCTAGTTCTATCCGCTCTACTGCGCTCCCACTCGCACTCGCGCACGCATATGCACACATAAGCAGAACTGCGTGTGTGTTTAGTGTCGCACTTATTCACGCTGTGACGTCACAATGCCAAGCCGAACAGCTGATTGGAGAACTGTTTATACGCAGCATTAATGGAGAGTATGTTGATCACATTGGGCCAAGCAAAAAAGTCTACAAATATTAGCAAGTTTCTTAAAGGTTAATAATATAATATGTATATTGTCATTTATTTGTATGAATGTTTAATAATTTGTAATTGTACATGTATAATAGATTTTTAAAAATTAGTAATTCTAGATAACATTTTCGGGGTGTGAAAGAGAAGGGATATGCTTTTGTGCGTGATCTATGCAATTTTGTTTTTGTTTTGTACAAATAGTATCCCTAATAATTAATATTATTAACAATTCGGCTTATTTATTTAATATTCAGCACTATGCAGCTAGCTGTAGCTCTTATTCTGTTTCTCCTCAAGATTTAACAAACATTGTGTATAGAATGGAAACATAATTATCATAATATAAACTACACATAAAAACGGTTCAGACAATTTACAATTGAAACATACATATATGTAAAGACGAGAGGCATTGAACTACTTCCAAATCACAGTCACATTCGTATCCTTTTCAATATCCTTCTCGATGGTGAACGGCGAGAGGCCAGTCTTGCAGCAAATCTCATCGAAACTTATCAGACCCGTGTACATCTTTTGGCGGCCCGATGGCACCGATCCGGTAAAAACCGGATACTTCTGTATGCAGCGTATAAACTTATGCTGCAATCCAAAGATAACCATCTTGCGTTCATCAATATTGTTATCCTGCGGACAGAGGCGCTGGCAAATGGCACGAAGCGTAACGCCGTGCGTCATGGACGCATAGAACTGGAAGATTTTCTGAACGCTGGGCAGAAGTTTATCGGGTTGGAGTGCCACGTATTTGCGACAGGCATTACTCAATGCTGTGCTCTGTATGAGTTTCTTCAGATTCTGCGTCATATAGACATTGCTATACTTCAATATGGGCAACAATTGCACGACTCCATAATAGACCAAATTCTGTATGCACGATTTGACCAAATCCGTTTCCACATCCGCCTCAGCAGCTATGCGAGCCACGTGATTGATGCCATTGATATACGGCAATATCTACAAGCAGACTTGTGGAATAAATCTGAATCTTTTTAGATTTTTAGATATATCACACTACCTGCTGTGTGGTTAGGTCCCAGTTTTCGAGTGGAGTATCTCGGAGATTGGCTAGCAGTAGGGGCACCATGTGATCCTTGACTGGCGGCGGATCTGGCTTATGCATCACAATCTTTAAATATATTGTATTATCTCCCTCAACGATGGTCGCCACTTTGCGCTCATTCAGATCCCGGAGGACCGTCTCAAAGATTTTTTGCAGGCGCAGTTTGTCGTCTTCGCGTGATAAAAAGCACGATTCCTCCTCCATCATAATCAAGTACTCAGATAGTTTTTTAACAACGGGCTCATATTGCACGGACCGAGCACGCGAATCGCAAACGAAGCATAGATTGAAGAGGAATGCATTACGTGCATATTTCTGCTGGTCCTGTATGCCCACTGGGTAGCCAACGATTTTCACCTCCATCGCATTCACTGTCAGGATGCAGCGCTGCAGATGCTGTTTGGGTATAATGTAAACGTTGATGGCATCGAATACCTCTTTGGAAATGTAATTCTCTGGCACCTTTTAACAAGAACATGTTGTTCCAATTATTTATTTTATTTTTTCTATTATTTGTTATTGTTATTGTTGGTGGCGTACCTGACAGCTAATTTTGCAGCCAGCCGTTGCATGGAATTCGCTTAAGAAAATGCAGCGTATTTTGCCTTCGGTGCTGCCGGGGCTGACACCTTCATTTGCGTGAGAGTGCATTGTTATTGATTGCACCTGCCACGCTCATCGCACTTTACAGATTTTTGACAATCTAGCAAACCTATTTCCACACAATATGTTTCCATTCGCGATTGTAAGCTAACCAGCCAGAGGCAATCCCATATACATATATATGTACATATATATAAATATGTATATGCGCAGATATTTTACTCTCGCTTGATTTTGCTCTCTCTGCGCAGCACGTCACAAAATTCAGCATTTACAAAGATTTGATGTGAGTCTGGCAGATATAAAAATAAATTCTAGCCATACTGGTATTGTTATGGATAACATAACAAATTTCATATTTCATGTCGACATTGCGTCTGCGATACAATTCGGTGCTTCTAGCCAACCATTAAATTGTGACGGAGTTGATGATCGGTTCACTCCCATAAAAAAAGATTCACTGATCTCTCAAAAATTCCGAAGTGAACCAGTTCCATCAAAGTGATCTATGAATTACTTGTATTGATTTACGACTAAATTTTACTATGCGATTTGTTTTCATCGTACATTTAAACATTAAAAATAACCTCTTGAAACAAATTTCAAAATTTATTTAAAACTTGATTATTCAATTTTAACGGCGGCGAGCGACCGTCTCCAAGAATCTTTATGAGCACAAAGAAGCTGCCAATATTATACGTTACAACAAAACAAAGATTCAGTTGGAACATTTGGGAAAATTTCGATGCATATTTCAATCTTTTTTATATTATTAACATAATATTTAAATTTATTAATATAATTTTCAAATTTTATGAAAAAGTAAAGTACTTTTAGCTATCCGGCAAGGCCGTATCATAAGTGACAACTGACAATTGCTTTAAGCGCTGAATCCGATTGCCGGCATTTGTTTTTATCGGACAGCGATTGTTCCGATACTCGTGCCTTCGTCGTTTCTTTGTAAAATTACCTCTGCAAGTAAATTTGCACAATTTAGCAGTAAATAAAGTTGGGAAATGACGAATGAAACCACAAATGCCGCTGACCGACTTAAGCTCGGTCCGCGTGAAAATGTTACGTATCCCATAGTAATGAAATATTGCGGACACTGCTCCATGCCAATAGAGGTAAGTGAAGCCCATTTTCGAAAAGTGTATCTGTTTATTAAGGAAATGGTTTTGCAGTACTGCGAATACTATCCCGAATACGACAAATGTAAGGAATGGTTGGAGCGCAATCTGCCCGATGATTTCGAGCGCCTTAAAATTGAGGAAGAGCAGGCAGCTGCTGATGGCACAGACGATGACAAGAAGCGTCAAAAACGGGGCGGCAAGGGTCTGCTGCGCGTTAAAAAGAAGGAAGATGTCCCCAAACGCATTTGTGTCTCCCGTGCTGCCCGCGGCAAAAAGAAGTCGGTGACAGTGGTTACCGGATTAAGTACCTTTGGTAGGCAGTGTTACGCTTGTAATTGTGCATGAAAAGACTTTATAAAATGTCTCACCCATTTGCAGATATCGATCTGAAAGTGGCTGCCAAGTTTTTTGGTACGAAATTCGCTTGCGGATCGTCAGTGACTGGAGATGATGAAATTGTCATTCAGGGCGATGTTAAAGATGATTTGTTTGATGTTATCCCCGAAAAATGGGCTGAGATTGATGAGGATGTTATTGAGGATCTTGGCGATCTGAAGCGTTAATCGAAAATATAGCTGCCAATAGCAATTATTGTCCTGCTTAAGAAGTGTGCTTATTTTATACGCATATTACTTCAAATAAAAAATGATTTAATCTCTAGTATATATAGTTTTTTATGTCGGTGCTTGTTGGTTGGCTTGTACCGGTTCCGTGGTAGTATTCGAGAAGTGCTTATGCGTTAGCTGGATAATAGCCTCGTTCTCCTCGTCAGTGAGTGGGACTTTATTATCGTCAATAAGCTGCAAGAAGATAAGTGCAAATCATTTAATATTTAAAAATTTATCATAAGAGCATAGATGTGTTTACCAGTTGTGTATGCAGGGCACTGGTGGGAGGATCATTAACCATTTGAAGCTGCTCATGTGGCATCAACCTATAGGTGGCCAAGTCACACAGATAGCCTTTAATGGATTCACGTGTTTGTGTTTTACAAGGCGATTCTTCGAGGTACTGTAGAGCCTCGTAAGTAACCGTTGCGAGATTGTGCATGCCCCATTTCTTTTTGGTGCCCTTTATATGTTGTAATATTTGCATCACCTCAAAATTTGTGATATACGAGTAAGTGGCATTTACCCTATTAATATTGGCACGGATTAATATAATTAACTAGATCGTAAAATATCTTACTTACGTCTCCATACTGCTTAATTAATTCATAGCCATAAACAATTTGTAAACAAGCACGATAACCACACACGAGTTCCACCGATTGGAAGTGGTATCGACCATTAAGTAATCGATGAAAACATTTCCAAGCACGCACGAGTATCGGGCAAAAAACTGTGCAGAAGTATTGGCGCGAATAACAAACGTTTCGATTATTATTAAAAGTCGCAAAAGATTATTAAAGCGCATAGTAGGCGTGCCAACATAGTGTCACATTTGTTTGAAATTCAAGTAACTAACTAATTTATAGTCATATTCATTTAAACCCATTTGTTTTGTGTAGGGCTATACATCGATTTTTCGATAATTTTTTTTTTTTTACTACTCGGCTTTTGCTCTTTAAACAACTTTTTTCCAAATTCAGTACCAAAAATATAATGGGGGTCGCGGATACAGATAAAAAACCAACCAAAGACACAATTGAAATTAGGGTCCCAAGGCCCAGATATCGCTCACTCTTTAAGCGCCGCACAACGCAATTGAGCACGTCTTATTTGCACTTCAACTTGTGCAGCAATTTGCATCGGCAATGGAATCGACGCCGCATGCGTCGCCTGTTTTTGGCCGATAAGAGTGACTCCTTAAATCGTCGCATGGATTTTAAACAGAAGTTGTGGTCATATTTCATCTACTCGCTGATGCCCATGCTCCTGGTCATAGGCTTCAGCAGCTTTATGACATATTATCAAAATGCAGATGTCTTCACGAAGTTCATGCAGCGTTACACTACTCAATACCAGGCCACCGTGCACAACAAGCTTAACTACTGTGACCGCACGATGCCATTGCAGGACATGTTTGAGCACATCCAAGGCGCAGTCATCAATCAGGAGATAGCGTTGAAGCAACTCGAACATGCTCTGGCCAACCAAAGTTTCCAATCCATTGCGCTAGTCGGCACCTCAGGTGTGGGCAAGACCCTGACAATGCGCAAACTATTGGAGAAATATCCGTGGCCAGAGAATGTTCAGACCATTGCATGGAACGACTATGAGTTGATTGATATCGACGCGCGCTACAAGGCCGTTGGGAAAATTTTGGGCAATCTGGCGCATTGCGGTCGAAACTTAATCATTATTGACAACATGGCCATGTGTGATCTGGAGTACATGGCATCAATAAATGGCATGGTGCAGTCGAACTCCAAAGTGGCCAACGGCACCAACGACTCTGACAAGAAGTATCTGACCATCATTTATGTATTCAATGTGAATAGCATGCTACCCGAGGAGATCTACAGTGAGCAGCTGAAGATGTTGAAGCAGGTGGAGACCACAGCAATGATAGTCTATCGCATGTTTGGGCCCAAAGATCTGGAGGCCTGCGTGCGGCACGAGCAGCGACTGTTGGACCTCAAAATGGATGAGCGTCATATCGAAGACATGGTCAATACAACCGATGTCAAAATATCTGGCTGCAAGACTGTACGTGCCAAGGTTCTGGTCCTGGGACATCCTCTAATGACAGAAGAGGATATGCACAACAAGTTGAAATTCATTCCGGATGAAGGCCAATAGCTTTCCCAATTTTCAAGTAGTTTAGTTTTAGTTATATATATATTAGCTTAAATATTGTCTTTTGGCATTTAGTTTGTTAAACAAAAAAAAAATCTTAATTTAGGGCTTAGAGATTAAGGGCAAGACATTAGGTATTAGAGTCCGCTAAAATTCGAGTGTTACGTAGGATCTGCATGCATGTATGCTTGTGATTGCACTAAAGACTAAATTATATTTCGATTATAGGTTTTAGATTATATTATTTAGGGCATTTTAATTATAGCTAACATGAAGCTCATTAGAGTTTCGCGATCGATAGACAACTGAGACTGAGAAGCCTTCTGCGTATAAGTTCCTAATGTAATTCAACATCTCTGATTGTGATCATACTTTAACTCTAGTGATAAATAAAAAAAATTACAAAGCGAACTGAATAAAAGTGTATTTATATGTGAATACTTAAAGAAGTCTTTATTTTTGGGGCCGTTATCCAAAATGTAACATAAATTTAAATACACACATGACATATAGTTATAATTTAGGTACTCTAGTTTTAAAGATATTGAAGATATAATTTCGAAACTGATTGTCGGTAAGTTTTTATCGATAACATGAAAACAATGTTATCGTTATCGTTTTTAAAAACAAACTTGCTCTGCAAGTGACATACACGGTCTCTATCTCTTATACTGAGGCCGATGCGTTCATACATATGCACGGACAGCCAGACAGGCAGGCTGGGCTAAGTCCACCCAACTGATCAAGCATATATATATATATATATATGTATATCTGTCCCATTATGGAGTTCACGCCTTCTCCTGCCCGTTACATATATTTAACACCATTATACCCTGATTTGATATTTACAATGAGTACAGAGTTTTAAAATGGCAATTTGAATCTAAGGAGCACTGGTGAATAGAGTCGCAGCATTGGCTAGCTTTCAAATTTCGAACGGAGTATGTATATAGTATTTTGTTAAATTACAGTATGTTACTTGTTTGTTAGAATCCCTTCTTCCCTTGTCTTCAAAATTAAATTTCGTATATGTTTCGACAGATCTCTCTAAATATAACCATTTTTTCATTCTGTTTTATCAGTAAGCAAAATAAAATCTCTTAAATTCGTGTGAAAAAGTGACGAAAATCTGCAGTCCAAAGGAGAGAACGGTACACCGCATTGGTCGTACTTCCCGAAAAACAAAAATTTATATAACTTGAGTATATAAGTATTTTATATAATTTTTCTGACCGACTACATATATATTGAGTTGGCATAACAAAAAGCAAGCATAAAAAAAATAAAAAAAATCCTGAAAAGGTTGCAGCATTTACTTAGCTCCTTGAAGATGGCCCAATATGAGGAAATTGGAAATGTGAACATCTGGTGGTTCCCCGAGGACTTTTGCCAATCCCGCTTTGGGGACTATCGTAAGAGCGGAACAAATTCTTGCACGCTGATCTCTTTAATATTAGCCGATAAGGTGTCCAAGATGCCAAGTCTCAGCCAGAACGTGAAGGAGCTACCGGAAAAGGCCTGGGATCTCATTGGCGATTCGATCAATGAGGGCAATATTGTCTATCATGATGAAATTTCGGCTAATCTCAATATTAATATACCGGATGCTATGGCAGCTATACGCTCTCATCACAAGATCAACTTTCTCCTCGAGGAATGGTTCTTCACCCAGGTGGGCTCCGATCCGCTTAGTCCAATGATTGTCGGCGTTGAGTTGTCACGCATCTTTACCACTACTTTGGATGCCTTCAAGCAGGTCGACGGCGGGAATACGCCGTCCCAGCTGTTTGCTGCCATCGTCGCTGATTGCCGCACCGTCATGGTGAGCATCGACCTGCGTACCTCGATCGCATTCATTGTCGATTCACATCAGCATGGCAATAATGCTGGCGCCTTCTTTGCCCAGAGCGACGCGCATTATATAAGCGATTTAATGTTCTGGTTCATCAGCATGCTGGATCATATCTTTTCCAGTCATCCGGCTATCTTTGAGATATCCTTTCTGTGTGCTATGCCAGATATCGCACTTCGAATTCCTCCAGCTGTTAAGCAACACGCCAATAATATTTGCAAGTTCAAGAAGTCATCGAAGACAGCGTAGCTCTTCCTTGAGTCACATTGTTAATTTCACTTGAAACAAATTTCCTAACGAATTTGAAGACCCACCCATAGACACGAAACCCGTTTAATCCCCTTCATTGTTGAAGTTGTATTTCTAAGTTATTGTTTCTGTTAATTAACACAAATATGTAACCGGCAGTAATATCCCCATATTATTTAATAAAATTTGTATTTTTTGTGTTAAGATCAGAGTAATTATTCTTCGACAGCAATAGATAGATTTGTGTGATAAGTCATAAGATATGAATATATCAGATTCTAGATATTCGGCGCTAGCTCTAGCGACAATTACTATATACAGTACTAATATATATAGTTCAAAGTTCAATAAAAAAATTATATTTTGAAAACTTCATTATTAACTTGCATCAAAGTTAGTTAGAAATCTAGAATCTAGAATAATTGATGATGACCAAAGTATTCTTATGAAAAGAGATTTTATTACGTCTGTATATATTTTGGTATTTCATTTATTTTTTCGAAAAAAAAGTTGCGGTTTTTGATTTATTATTGTATAAGGTAGTTGTAGGTAGCATATAAATTTATATAACATACGATATACATACGATATATATATATGTAAAAAAGACATAGCTAGCTTAAATACTTTTACTTGCACATTCGTTTTCGCCTTCACTTCTCGCTTCGCTTTCTTCTTTTCTTTTAATATTCTCTTCAAACTAATCTCACTTGAACGATACGCTAGAGTGTTTGTTTATGCGTGTATGAGTGTGTGTGTGTGTGTGTGTGTGTGTGTGTGTGTGTATGCATGTTTCCCTTTAGAATCCACCAACACCGCCCTGCTTGCGTCCATCGGCATTTGCATAGATCGCTGTCGCATTGCGGCCGATGGCACAGACCACGGAAGAGGCTTTCTGGGACAATGGCTTAAGAATGTGCCCCCGCTTCCGCAGCAGACTGAGCACATTCTCTGAGAACTTTCCGTCTTCGTACTCGAGAACATTGGGAAATAGCTGATTGTAAAACCGTGGCGCATCCTCGGCCGTCTTCAGGTCTTCGCCGAACCAGAGAAAGCGGGCGGCCACCTCGACTATGCCTCCCACTATCTTGGTGCCACCGGCTGCTCCAATTGCTAGACGGATATTGCCATCTCGATCTGCAAGCAGCATTGGGGACTGCGACGACATGGGGCGCTTGTGTAAATCTATTGTGTTCGCTTGCGACTGTGGCAGATTGAATATATTCTCTTTGACGGAAAAGTCGTTCATGCAATCGTTTAAGATAATGCCAGTGCGGGGTCCAATCAAACTGGAACCAAAGCTGAAAAAATATAAAAAAGAAATTCAATATTAACTACAAAAAAAGAGAATACAAAAGTAACTCAAGAGTAGCACGACTAGCAAAGGCTTCACCTAGAAGTGAAAGCGCGCAATAGATTTGAATTACTCAGTTTGGCAACATCTCTTAAAGCCACTCTGTATAATCGCCCAAAACTACACCGCACTATCGATACTATTTTATGGCGATAGCTATTGCAGTTGTCGATCGTTATTGCGAATGGCAATATAAGTGGTAATGTAATGAACGATAGATGGCGCTAGAGCAGAATGAGCATCTACTGTTAATGCTAATACTCACTAGTTGTTGATGGAGCTGGTCACGGCAACAGCATCGCCATTCGGCGCTAGCACAGCAAAAGATGACGTGCCATACGGATCTTCTTCGGAGCTGAGCAGTGCACCGTAATCTTGCGGGCTACCCAGCACTTGGTTGTCATTGATCTTGGCGCGCTGCTGAGCAGCATATTGAGGATTGGTGAGCTGGCTGACCAGTTCGCGAATGTCATTGAAACGCGGATCGCCCAGCTCTGGGCGATGTGCGAATCCAAACTTCAGCGCCTCCGTAATCCGATGTATGGTCAGAGCGTAGGACTCATCATCCGCCAAGTCGGCCCGTGTGAAATTAAAGCCCTCGAGAATGCCCAGTATGTGAGCGACGACAGATCCACTGCTCACCGGCGGCACGGCATACAGAGTGTCGTTGCCCAGTGGCATGGTGACGGACAGACGCAAATCGGCCGTGTATGTATCCAAATCGTCTTGTGTTATAATGCTGCCCAACTCCTTCAGATCTTCGGCCAGCATTTGAGCCACGGTGCCGTTGTAAAAGTCCATTGGCCCATTTTCCGCTAGTAGTTTGTACGTGTTGCACAGTTTTGCCGGTGGCTTCAGCAATGCTCCCTCCTGGTGGTGCTCGCCCGTTTCCTCATTCAGAAAAACGGATCTACGATGAAGTTTGCTTGATAATCTATCTATCTCGTTAGATCTAGCCACATGTACTTACTGATATTGCAAATTATCCTTGATATAGGACCACATCATCTTCACCTTCGACGCCTGATGGTTACTCATTCGATATCCAGTCTCGCAAATTTTTAGAGAAGGCTCCACTAGAGTCCGCCATGGCAGCTTGCCAAAGCGTTTGTGCGCCAAATGATAACCCATCACCTCGCCAGGCACTGCAATGCTTAGCGGTCCGAAAATTGAGGCATTGGCATCCTTATCGAACATTTTCTGATGGGAAGCATAGGGCGCCACGGCCTGCGCATCGATCTGATAGCCTTGTTGAGACTCTCGATGATAGATATTCATTATTAGGCCACCGCCAATGCCCATGCTTTGTGAGGTCAACAGTCCATTGCACAGCATTGTGGCAATGGTTGCATCTACAGCGGTGCCATTCCTCTCCAATATGTTGCTGATGATAATGAGACAAAATTAATTAATTGATTTCTGATACTGTTAGAATTATTATAATGCCAATGATAAAGCTAATGATAAAGCTAATGATAAAGCTAATGATAAGCCAATGACAATGACAATGACAATGACAATGACAATGACAATGACAATGACAATGACAATGACAATGACAATGACAATGACAATGACAATGACAATGACAATGACAATGACAATGACAATGACAATGACAATGACAATGACAATGACAATGACAATGACAATGACAATGAAAATGACAATGACAATGACAATGACAATGACAATGACAATGACAATGACAATGACAATGACAATGACAATGACAATGACAATGACAATGACAATGACAATGACAATGACAATGACAATGAAAATGACAATGAAAATGAAAATGACAATGACAATGAACATGGCAATAATAATACTTGTAACACTAATAAGATATTATACCTGCCAATCTGACTACAGGCATCCGTATCCGAGCAAACCGCCGCATGCTGATAGACGCCTAATTTGGATGAGAATTCCTTTTTGCTCTTGGCGTCGGCGTCATCCAGAATCGGTGCTGTCGAGGGCGGTGGTGTGGTTGGTGATGTGGAGGCGGCTACAGCTGGTCCAGCTACTGCGATTTCCTCACTTGTTGTTGTTGTCGCTTCCACGTTGCTGCTGTCGGATACCGATGCTGGTGGCAGCGATTGCTCATCTGTTGAATTAAATGGTTTAAGTGTGTGGCTTGTGCTTGGATTGCTTGGTGGTGTAGTTGTTGTTGTTGGTGTGCTTTCTGTTGTTGTTGTTGTTGTTGTAGTGCTAGTTGTTCTTATTGTTGTTGTTGTTGTTGCTGTTGGTGGTGGTGGTGATGGTGTGGATGGTGCGGCTTCGGCAACATCATCTGTGAATGCCGTTGCTGCTGTTGCTGTGCTGCTGCCAACAATTGCAGCTGGTGCTGGCGTTGTTGCTTTGGCAACTGTGCTGTTGGTGATTCTCGCCGACTTTGACCAGTCTTTAGATGTTGTTATTGCAGTTGTTGTTGTTGTCGGTGCAAATGTTGTTGTTGTTGTTGTTGTTGTTTAGTAAGTTAAGGTGTAAGAGTTTGTTGTCAATACATTTGCATTTGTATTTATTTGATTTTGTTTTTTCGTGCCACAATAGAAGAAGAAGATAACATTACGGGTGGGTGCCGTGGTGCATTGGAGGATAATGAATCGAATCGAATGACAAAGGCATGCAAAGCATCTAACCAGGCAACATATTTCATTTGTATTGCTGAAGCTGAAGCTGTGTTGCTGTCTCTCTGTTGCTCTGTTGCTCTTGTTCTTGTACTCGAAACAATCACATACATACATGGTACTCTTTTTTTTTCTATTCACGTATGTATGCCTGTGCAGTTGGCCATGTGTGTGTGTGGGTGTGTGCACGTGTGTACGTGTGTGTGTTTGTGTGTGTGTGTGTGTGTGTGTGTGTGTGTGTGTGTGTACAAATTAGTAGGCATTTGGTGAGTGAGTGGTTAGAGATGTGAATCGGGCCATTGTTGCTCAATTGGCTATGATGCGAACTTACCGCTCAAGCACAGACTGATGATCACATAGCTTATCAGGGCGATGCCAATGAAGCAGATGAGGCCAATTGTCAACTTTTTCATCCAGGCCAACAGATTGGCCCGCCTGCAAAAGCAAAAAAGTCCATATACTTAATATAGATTGGATATTTTTATATAGATGCATATACATTCATGTTTATATTTTTGTGATACAAATATAAGTTTAAGAATAATAATATTAATACACGATTATACAGTGGAGTCCCGATAATTCGAAATGGCAAGAGGATCAGTTTTTTTCTTTTTTTTTTCGATTTATACAGAAATTCAAATTATCGCGAATTATTAAGAACGAATTTCTTTCAAGGGAATAGAATTATTTCAATTTATGGCGATTTGCGATTTAGCGGATTATGAATTATCGAGACTCGACTGTACATATGTATATATTACATTAAAAATTGCTGCCCTGAAAAGTATGCTACAATTTTGCAACTACAAAATTGCTAAACTTGCGCATATCTTTTTATTTAATTGATTTATAGCCTGGAGTGAATTTTGATACCAAACTTTTGCAGCTGCTAAATCTGAAACTGAAACCAGATGGGCCATGCCCAGACGAAGCTTCGTCAACAGCAATAGAAATTCTCATTCTCTCTCATAGCTTTATATATAAAGTGCCAATTGCCTTCAAATTTTAGCCAAATCTTAGTTCGACCCTTTGCACTTACATCTGTTCGCGACGCGCTTCTTCGGCTGCGGCTGTATCCTGGATCAGCTCGTCGCCATTTTTCTCCTCGTCGTCCAGTCCGTTGGAGGACTTGAGTGGAATTTTGTTCATGGCATCGTCGTTGCTGTGGTGAACCATCTTGTGAGCATCCGCTGTGGCTGCTGTTGCTGCTG